CTCATGGATTTGCACGGTCACATATGATAGTGAATGGACCCTGATTGGTAAGGGACTTTCTATTTGGGAGAAAAGTAACGGGGTTACCTCATATATGAGAGTTTTCGGTGAGGGGAAGCTTCTAGTTGAATCATAATATATATGTGAAACACCCTGATTATAAAACCTTTCAAATATTAATTATAAAAAAAATAGCAAACACAACCGACATTAAAAGGCTTGGAAACATCATCGTTTGAAAACCGTAAACAAATTTTGTTAATCCAGTTAGCTGACATGTCGATGGTTCCATTTTTAACTCATCATATATTGGTCACCGTGACCCTCGAATATATAATTTGAAAACTTTCCACCACCTCAACAATCCATGCTCATGCTCAACATTTCTCCTTTATCTATGTCATCACAACCCTCGAACCTATGGTTCAAATTTAAGCGGTCATTATGCATGACTCTCGAACCCATAGTACGGCATAAACCGGTCATCATGCTACATGCTTGGCCATCGGGCTGCTTAGTCATGTTGTACTTAAGAGTTAAGAGTATAAACCTAAGTAGCAAATGGCTTTATGCACTGTTGATTGGCACCTCTTGGACCACATATTGTTTGGGTGTGTCATAGTTAAGGCCTAACAACACAGTGGTCTTACTCGCGTGGATCATTCGGAGTAACTTAAAATCAATCTTAATATATCCTAAATCTGACCTTAAGTGTCAAAATCATAGTGAGAATAGCACATAATCTAAATAACATTTGTCAGTGTTGTGAATTAAATCATTAACTTTAACTAAATTTTCAATTAAATCGTTAATTTTCGTTTATTTTGCCAAATGAGCACATCACCAAGTCAATTAACAGACTAATTTAACAGAGTTAAGTCAATGTTAACATTTTACGTTAAAATTCAAAACGACGTTAACTTTGCCAAATATATTTATTTTTTTCTTATCTGAATAAATGTCTTCCTTTCAAACAATTTTACAATGGAAAAAATGTTTTATTGCAAAAAAAAAAAGCTCTTTCAATGTACGAGCCTACTACTATTAATTAGCCTATCAAAATGATACTTTTCTTAATTATTGTTTTGCCGTTTTCTTAATTTTTTCTTGTCAAAAGCTAATACTTTTCATATTTTTTCCTATTACTATGGCTGAATTAACGGAGAAAATATAATGTCATGTTAAATAGTTTGCCATTTACGACGTTTTTACTTATTAGTCTACCATTGCTTAAATACTTTTTGTATTGTTAAAGTCATTACTTAATACGTTTCTTTTATTTTATTTTTTTCACAGATAATACATTTTATTTTTAGGATTCTATTACTATGGATCTGACTGTAATTTGTAGCGTAATTGTTTTAGCAGAAAATAAATTTACTCTAGCTAAATTAATAATTAAATATTTTAAAAATAATAGTAAACCAAATTCAAATCATCAATACAATAAAAACAACAAAAGTCTCTCCAGTGCTGACACCTCAGCATTTTAGAGTATTATGGGACTGACACGTCATTAAAATTGTCAACCAATCAAAATATTTCGATTAATACAACTCAGATTTCTCAACCAATAATAACTCTTTTCAATTTCACATCACTTAATAATGATTAAATTAAATTCAAGCACAAACCCAAGCCCAAACTCAATTGATTTAAATTTTTAAATAACCTAATAATTATTAAAATAGAAACAACTCAATGCCTAAATTTCTATTAAAAAATCAATTTAATGTAAGGTGATTATTAATTATTTCGTAGGTAGTCACGCCATTATATGTTTTTTTTTCAAACATGTAAGCTAACATAATTTTTTTTTCTAAATGCAAAACATGGTTTCTTTTTCAAAAAAAGAAAATTGATAACTTCAAGAATGGAGGCAGATACCAAAAGCAAATTACAAATATAAAAAACTCGTAAAAAATATTTAAATTTGAAAATAAATAAAAAACAATATTTCAAAAGTACATCTACTTTTCGTCTTAAAGTACATAAATTTCTATGTTTTATTTCACCGGTAGTTTTAGCTTTAAGTATCAATTGATGAAAAATATGAGTGGTCGATTGAAGAAAAAAAAGAGAATCATGAGGAATGGTGAAAGAAGGTTTGTGAAGGCTGAGATTCGGAAGAAATTAAGAATATGACATAGAAGAGACCTAATAGGCAAATGGGTTGGAGAAAGTTTGCTTACTTAAACTCAAAGTTAGATTTTTAATCATTATTCAATTTTTCAGCTCTACTAGAAAAGAAAAAAAATCTAAAAAATAGCTCACGGGTTTTGATTGAAGCTCTTGGAGCTTCTTAGAAATTCAAAAAAAATTAGCACGATAAATAATCGAACACATGCAGCCATGTTCCTTTAGAATTTATATAGTTTAATTTGAATAATAAAAAAAAACTTGGAGTTTGGAATTATAGAATGTACTTGAAGCGACTAAAGGTTCAGTTGTTGATTTAGTGTACATAATTTCAGAAATACAACAACAAATACAAATAATAAAACTCTCATTTCATTCAAAGAAAGGAAAAATTCAAGTCATTAATATTTTGTTTCAGAATTCAAAAGGAGTAGTTTTTTCATAATATTTATTGATAGTTAGATATTTTATTAATGCTAGAAAGAGACAATCCAAATACTAACTATCGGGTTTAGCAAAAGTTTTAAGCGTTAAAAGAAAACAAACATTTATATGTATATCATAAAAAATATGATCTTTTAAAGACTTTTTCTAACAAAATGATCAAAAATTGAACTATAAAACCCCTCGATATGATTTGGCTTGTGTTCGAGTCGATTTATATTCTGCTCGATTTGTTTTAGTTTTATTTGTGTACTCTTAAAAAAATTTAAAGGTAGAGATGTTTAAACAAAATCAATCTAATTTTTATATTTTATTAATTAAAATGAAAAAATATCTAACGCTCTAAATCAAGTGCAACGTTGTTAAAACATTACATATTAGTATTTACAACATTATTATTTAATTAAATAAATTAATATATTGGGTTATCGGTTCGGGTTGAGAATAAATATAATGGAATGGTTTGAATGTAAGTTATAGTTTGGTTTGCTAGGTTTGGTTTCGTTCGGTTAAAATGTCCACCTATAATAATATTGATCTGATCTAATTTGAAAATCGAATTGTTTTAAAGTAAAAAATTTGTTTATAATGTTCAGCTTCTAACGAAAAAAATACACACAAAGAACTTAGTTTATTAATTATTTTGATTTAATGGTCAAAAAATTATTTATTTAAAAAAAAGGTATATTAAAATACTTTTAGTGGATTCAAATATTGCTTGAGTATCATAAATGATTTTAACAAAAATAATTTAAGGTTCTTGAAGTATAATAGTCGCTGAAAAATATCTTTATATATCACAATATAAAAGATCTAACACTTGTAAGAATTTAAACATATAATAAAACCTAAAATAAATAAAAAACGAATACAAAAATTGATTATAAGATAAATTGATTCCGTAAAGTAATATAGAAAATTTAATTACTAATGTATTTATATATAAACTTATAAAATAAAAGCAACTAATGTACGAGTAAAGGTAAAATACAAAATCCGTGAAACTTTTTAAATTTCTACCATACATTCTTATATTAAAAAATATTTTATTTACAAAAATAACTTGAGACCTAAATTATTTGTTAAATTCACTTGATGCATGTTGTTTTATAAAAACAACTTGTTATCGAATAATTTCTTCATTTTTTTTTTCTAAAACCCCGCAGCGTAGCACGGGTTTCGATCTAGTTATATATAAAGTTTGTTATCAAACCAAACTTAAACCATTATAAATAGCTTGTAAACCCGTAAAAAAGGAAAACAAAATCAGAAAAACTAATGTTAAAGCAATATATGTCATTTGGTCTATACATGTATATTAAATAGATTTATATTTATATAGCAATTCAACTCTAATATGGCATTTTTTATATTTAATTAGTAATTTGTTTTGCAATGTTCAAAAAAAATTTATGCCTAGAAATCTAGAAGGTGCCAAACGAAACGATTTTCATCAATTCGCTGAGAAAAATCGGAAACCCAGTCAAAGCGGTTCAAATCGGACAAAATCTCTCAAATCGATTAATTTATGGATCACATTTAATTTAAAATGTTATAATAATTTAAGAAAAGTACATGGGATTTTCGATTTAATTCATCATCTTGAGCTTCAAGCTTTTAGCGTTTTTTATTTTGGTTTAAACTCTATGATATTTGTTTTTTTCTATCTTAAAATCAAATTTAATAATTACATTGCTAATTTTTATTTTCAAAATGAATTGTAATATATATTTAGCAATACATAATATTTAAACATATTACAAATAATTCAATAATTTCTTAATGCCTAGGTTCCAATTAGTCGTTTTATGTGCTTAGATTCCTAATTAACAAACGTTTAGTTACCGGCAATCGATTTTTTGACATTACTTTTGCCAGTACAATTAAGTTTTTTACTCATCTAATTTTCCTTATCACATGATGCTTTTACCCTTTATTTTAACGAATCTATCGTTGTGCTATGTCCCTATTTTTGTATACTACTCACCATATGTATCAATTGAATACAATTTTTGTTATAATTCATTTAGAATATAGTTTTTCCTCTTTAAGTATAGAGAAGACAATGATAAGATTAGGACCAAAACAACAGGTCATAAATTATCAGTTTTTTCTGCCAAATATAGCATCAATGGAAACTCCATTATTGTGACGCATTGTGACCACTTGAGCTTCTTATCATTTTTATTACAAAACCACCTTATTACCCTAAGCTTCCCTTTTTAAGCAACAATTGTTGCGAAATAATGAAAAGAACAATATAAACAATGGTATCATAATATAATGTGTTTCAAAAGATATTATATCAAGATATCGTTCTAAAATCAAGATTTCAAGTTCTAAAAATGGCTTCAATATTTTATTACTTTCTACATAAAAAAAACACACACGGCACAACCAAAATTGTTTTAGAAAACAATAATAATAAAAAAAAGGAAATAAAAACCGACTGTTTTATGCAATCCCTTTATAAAGAAGCAATGCACCAGCCAAAACCAAAACAGAAAGTCCAACAAAAAAGGATTCAAAGAAAAAGAGTAGAAGAAGAAGAAGAAGAGAAGAAGAATGAAGCTTACACATACCTTCTCGTTTCTTTTCTTTCTTCTTCTTCTTGCCCACACGAGCTCGAAACCCACTCTTGCTTCTAAAGATGTACGTACATTCATTAATCATTTCACTACCCATTTACACTATAACAATCTTTTTTCATTTCACATTCATTATTAACCATTTATTTTTGTGTGGTTTCAGTCGTCTTCATATGTGGTGTACTTTGGAGCTCACTCTCATGTCGGAGAGATAACTGAAGATGCCATGGATCGCGTCAAAGAAACCCACTACGACTTTCTTGGTATCTTCATTGGAAGGTTCTCTAAACAAACAACCCTTTAAAAACTTAATATGTTAACCATTTTCATTAACTTAAGTCTTGGTAATGTTAAACCAGCCGTGAGATTGCCACAGACGCCATTTTCTACTCATACACAAAGCACATCAACGGATTCGCTGCTCATCTCGACCATGACCTCGCATATGCAATCTCCAGTAAGAATACAAACATTACATGTTGTCTTCTCTCTGTTTGTGTTTAATTTCAAGAGTTGACTCTGTTTCTTCTTTCTTGATTATCCCTCAAGAACATCCGGAAGTTGTGTCTGTATTCCCAAACAAAGCCTTGAAGCTTCACACGACTCGATCATGGGACTTCTTGGGTTTGGAACATAACTCTTACGTTCCTTCCTCTTCCATTTGGAGAAAGGCTAGATTCGGAGAAGATACCATTATCGCAAATCTCGATACGGGTTCGTTTTAATCCTTCTTTGTTTTAATATTTCTTTAGTTCTAGTCAACCTTTGCAACTTTGAGTTTGAGAGCCTTGAGATTGGTTTTTGGGAACATACGTACCCACTTTTAAAACCATATATTTTTTCAAACTTGCATTACAAGAAATATATATATATATATATATATATATATCATCGTTATGTGAATTTGTTTTTCTTATAATTTTTTTTTTTTTTTTTTTCTAGTAGTTAAGATCTCTAGATGTCAGCAAGAATCAAATCAGCCATATATATGCAAGCATGTGCGCATATGCATATTCATTAATATGCATATTCCCTTCTCTCAACTAAACTCATGGCATTTCTTATCTTTAATATGCTATATGTTGACTGCATCGTATAGTTGACTTGAATCATAAACACTAAATCCTTATAAGTATACCAAATTCTGTAGTAAATAGTTTTCTCTCACAAGAAGTTAGGGAAACGAATTAAATAAAGACTTATCGAGATGTGAATAGAAATCTTCCATATAAATTTAGAGATTTTTGTTTCTGGAATAGAAAAGTTGGTGAATAATTCATCGTACAATTAAGGTGCTTTTGGCACCATGCAATTGTCTTTTAACATAAAGTTAATGCATTTACTGCAGGTAACTTCACAAGTGGGTATGAGTATTCAATAGTGTATTCTAAATATAGTATTCATGAGTTATGACTTATAGACTAACTTAAGTTTTCAAAAAATAAAAAAGTATTGATACCAAGTGGGTAGTCTAGTGGTCTTAGTATCCTTTAATGGAGATTGTGCTCTAGTTTGAACCGTGTTTGAAAGAAATGTATTAATCACAGGCTGGTCCTGGCTGAAAAAGACTACAAGTCTAAAAGTTCCAAAATTCCCTCAAAAATCAAAGGAAGAAAACAAATTCTTACAATGCTCTTTATACTGAAAACTGTAACAGATCTTAATCATTCTTGTAGATGAGGAACCAACTTCTTAATATGGTGATCTAATTAGAGATTTTGTAATGAATGTTTTCGTAAATTCTTCGGTTCCAGCTAGATGATGTCAAGTGAATAGTAAAAAGAATTCAAACACTCTCTATTGGGATAACAATTAGAGTTTTTAGTTCGATTTTTTTTTTTCTTTCTCACAGAATCTTGGGACTTAGGATGATAAAGTTGGGATATGCATGAGATCTTTAACCTTTCATACCCTTCTTTGAATAATTTAATATTGATTCAGAAAAGCAATAGAAGTTGCCATAACTAAAAATGGTTGGTTCATTAGGTTGTATGATTATGAGACACCACTATGCATTTTTATTACTAGCTTGTAATGACTTAATCCCACTTACTATCTTTGTATTAATAAGAATAAGTTGTTGAGTATAATTTCATAAACTAATATTTTTTATTTTAAATATGATTGTGTACGTGTATAAAAGGTGTGTGGCCAGAATCAAAGAGCTTTAGAGATGAAGGCTTGGGACCAATTCCTTCAAGATGGAAGGGAATATGTCAAAACCAAAAAGATGCCACTTTCCATTGCAATAGGTTCTTTTTCTATCTTTTACAATTTTTATTCTTTCAAATTTGGTGTTCAATCATTTTCACGTTAAGTAATTATCATAAGATACAAACAAATCCTGGAATTATCTGTTCTCATTTCTTAGGAGTTGACACACTCACACACCTAGCGGTGGAATTATGTGTATTTGTTTCATATCAATCAAATTCACAATTTCTCATCAACAAAAAGAAGACACGTGTTGGTTGTAATAAGTAATATTTGGAGTCTTTTATCAAAAAAAAAAAGAGAGTCGTATTTGGAATTTGAGTTCCGTATTTCAACATCCGTGGGTTTGTTTTTGGTAAAAAGAAAAATAGAACTCATTGTTTGGAACTTTCGATAATCTCTTGAGTGATTGGACTAGATGATTATATTCTTTAAAAATAAATTTTATATTCAAAAAAGTTTAATTAAAAAAAAAAACTAAACTATATACTATTTCTAAATGCCATTTATAATATTAAATATCATGTTCAATTTTTTTAAAAGAAAATCTATTTAAATAATGTTATTTATAGAAATATTACTCAATTCAATGCATCATTTACATTAACACTTACGATATAGTTATTTACACAATTGACCATATATTTCATATCCCACTTTACCTACTTTTGTAGAATCTTTTTTATCTTCACATTTTTATTCTAAACGTTCTCTTATACCTTTTCAACCTTTTTCTCTGTTTTTCTTGGCAAAAGATAGAACTGGAATCCCAAAAAGAAACAAAAAGATATTCATATATGATTCTTTTTAATTATAGGGTAAAAACTAAATTGATACAATGATACCCTGTAAAATACTTTGTAAATTAAAAACAGTTATTACCATTTACCAGTTGCTATAGTGAAAAAAACAGTGAAAACGTGTAAAAACGTTTTTAAGTAAAACTTGTAAATCTTTAACACTAACATGTTAAGCTAATAACAAATGTGAATGAAGGAAACTGATCGGAGCAAGGTACTTTCACAAGGGCTACGCAGCCGCCGTAGGACCTCTAAACTCAAGCTTCGAGTCTCCCCGTGATCTCGACGGTCATGGCTCTCACACTCTCTCCACCGCCGCCGGAGATTTCGTCCCTGGAGTCAGCATCTTTGGCCAAGGCAACGGCACGGCCAAAGGTGGCTCTCCTCGGGCCAGAGTAGCCGCATACAAAGTCTGTTGGCCGCCAGTCAAAGGCAATGAGTGCTACGACGCTGACGTCATGGCCGCTTTCGACGCTGCCATACACGACGGAGCTGACGTCATCTCTGTCTCTCTAGGCGGCGAGCCTACCTCGTTTTTTAACGATAGTGTCGCTATTGGTTCGTTTCACGCTGCTAAGAAGCGGATCGTGGTTGTTTGCTCTGCCGGAAACTCTGGACCGGCGGATAGTACGGTTTCCAACGTCGCACCGTGGCAGATCACCGTTGGAGCTAGCACCATGGACCGTGAGTTTGCTAGCAATCTTGTTCTTGGTAATGGAAAACATTACAAGGTTAGATATTAAATCCAAGAAAATGGATTATATCTCTTTATCTCAAATCTTGAAAATGAATTCTTGAAATTGAGCTTGAATCTTTTTCATTGATAGGGACAAAGCTTGTCATCCACAGCATTGCCACATGCTGAGTTCTATCCAATTATGGCATCTGTAAATGCAAAAGCTAAGAACGCCTCAGCTTTGGATGCGTGAGTTTGGCTAATCTCCTTACTTAATTATGCCAAACGTTTTATGTTAATTGTTAATTTTGAATTAATCTCTCTCTTTGTTGTAGACAATTGTGCAAACTTGGATCGCTTGACCCTATAAAGGCAAAGGGGAAGATATTAGTGTGTCTCAGAGGACAGAACCCGAGGGTGGAAAAGGGTCGGGTGGTGGCTTTAGCTGGTGGCGTAGGGATGGTTCTTGAGAATACTAATGTCACCGGGAATGATCTAACCGCTGATCCGCATGTCCTCCCAGCCACACAGCTCACTTCTAAGGATGGTTTTGCTGTGTCAAGATATATCAGCCAAACCAAGTAGGATTCTTGATTCACTTTACCTAAAACTTAACTTGTTTCAAGTGCTAAAAGAAATTTTTTTCATCGTTGATGTAGGAAGCCGATTGCGCACATTACTCCTTCTAGGACAGATTTAGGATTAAAACCAGCGCCTGTAATGGCTTCATTTTCTTCTAAGGGTCCAAGCACAGTGGCTCCTCAGATTCTGAAGCCTGACATAACTGCTCCTGGTGTGAGTGTGATCGCTGCCTACACTGCCGCAGTATCTCCAACAGACCAACAGTTTGATCCTCGACGACTTCTGTTCAATGCTATTTCAGGAACCTCCATGTCTTGTCCTCATATCTCTGGCATTGCCGGCCTTCTCAAAACCCGTTATCCTTCTTGGAGCCCCGCAGCTATCCGCTCTGCCATCATGACTACCGGTAAGAACGTTGCTGTCAAAATGGAAGTCTCATTCTTTATCACTTAAAACACATTAACATCTACTATTTGCGGCATATAACACCATTGGCTTATAAACAAATCTTGTTTCTTCCATGGCCATGTTCTGTTTTCTTGGTTTTAGGTTGGAAATTAAATGATTTTTTCTTAGTCTTGTAATATTTTCATACTTTGTGTTTGGTGTTGTTTGTGTTTTTCCCTTTCAGCAACAACAATGGATGACATTCCTGGACCTATCCAAAATGCAACCAGCATGAAGGCAACGCCTTTCAGTTTCGGGGCAGGACACGTCCAACCAAATTTAGCTGTAAATCCCGGTCTCATATACGATTTAGGCATCAAGGATTACCTCAACTTCTTATGCTCACTTAGATACAACGCATCACAGATCTCTGTCTTCTCGGGAAATAACTTTACTTGTTCAAGCCACAAAACCAGTCTTGTTAACCTCAACTATCCTTCCATCACAGTTCCAAACTTGTCATCAAACAAAGTCACCGTCTCAAGGACCGTTAAAAACGTTGGACGACCTTCGACTTATACTGTCCGGGTGGCTAACCCACAAGGTGTTTATGTCACGGTGAAGCCCACGAGCTTGAATTTTACCAAAGTTGGAGAGCAAAAGACGTTTAAAGTGATCCTTGTGAAAAGTAAGGGAAATGTGGCTAAGGGCTATGTGTTTGGAGAATTGGTTTGGTCAGACAAGAAGCATCGTGTGAGAAGTCCCATTGTGGTGAAGCTCTAAATTTGATTTTTAGTGCCAATGATGATATTTGTTTTACGAAATTTAGTTGCCTATGTTTCAATTTAAGGCTTACAAAGAATGGTGTAATGTTGTGCTGATCATATAAAATAATAACTAGACTATCACCCGTGGTACAACCAAGTTTATGTTTCTTTATAAGTGAGACCCTATGAGTCACCACTAATATAACGTTACGGCTTGGTATAGAGGGCAACAGAGACATTACAGTTGTGAGGAAGTGTTGGCACCAGCTCTTTAAACCTAAGGTAATGGTCTTCCAACAGTAGACCATCTTGTCTAATATAATGCCTTTGTATTTTTAAGCGTAAGGTCCATGAATGAAACAACGTGCTCTGGCTCTACATCCAAACCAAGCCCGGCTCAATAAATTTGAGGTTAGTGAGCTGGAAAAAATATGCCATTTTTCTCATGTTTTTAAGGAAAATAAAATAAAAAAATTTGACCATAATTTTAATAGATTTCAATCAAAGAAAGACAAAAAATGAATGGACCCAGTGTTGTAGCACCTCCAACACATGTCTAGAGCCGGGGCTGATCCAAACATGAATTGTACCAAACTTCACCATATTTTGATCTCCAACATTGATCCAGATTAAAGGCTTGCAAATCCACGTAGTCGCCAAGATACACACGCTGCACAACAGATTAAAAACAAATTAAAAAAACATGGTTCTTGGATGATAGAAAAAATGGTCAAGGATAATAAAAACATGGTTCGTAGTAGTAGTTATACCTGTTTATGGTAGCAATCCTTTGTGTGTAGCTTCTTTAAATTAGGTGAGTTTTTTAACACTCTTTCTATACCAGGAATAACATACCGAAAGATCACTCTCTCAAGAGTCAAAGACTTAAACTTGAACATCGGAAAAGGAACACCACGAAGCTCGGCCATAGATAATATCTAACAGAAAGATATTGAATATAACATAGAATTAAACGTTCATACACTTGAAAAAAAAAATCAACGCATAATCATCTACCTTAAGCAAATTTCCCCCAACAAAAGTAAGCTTCTCCACGTTCTGCAACTTTTCTAACATATTTAGCACCATGACTTGAAGACTATCATTCTTTGTTTTTGAAACTGATGCAATGCTAATGTTCAGTCTAGCTTCGACTAAAGACGAGACATCAACTAAAACACATGGTAAATGATGAGAGCTTTTCAATATGAGACAATGGATATATGGTGCCACAATCTGTAGTGTCCGGGGGAACTGAGGGTCGCTGTTTATTTCCAATGTTCTCAGACGCATTGATTTGTTGAGATCAAGAATCTTGAGTGCATTGCAGAAACACAACTTTAACCTCTCAAGACTCGGACAACCAGATAGAATCTTAGCCATGGATTCATCAGAAAGACTAGAACTATCCAAGTACAACTTCCGCAGAGATGTCCAAGACACTGAGCCTCTAGGAACCATCATATCACGAGGGCTTAATTTAAGGCGGATTTGCTTAACAGAGGAATTGATGTAGAAGAAATCAGGAAACTTATACCCAACATGATTCCATAAATCCAGGGAAATATTCTCCACGTTACGGGACATGACTAACTTGATCCACCTGTTGATGTGGTGGGGAATATTGTTCATCACGATGGTATGGAGGTGAAAATTCACCATCTTGGGAGCTGTGTAACGTGTTAGGATTTCGTTTAGAGAAGGAGACTCCGGACTACACTTATCAAAAGAAAGAGACGGTGTTTCGCACCATACACGCCTCCATCGTTTTGACAAGAGGGAAGTTCTGATGGCGAACTTGGTCGGCATAAAGGAGAGTATATCGTGTAGGATCACATCAGGTAAAGAGCTTATTAAGTCTAGTGTTTCTCGGCTTATCCGGCGGCGGAGATGGTTTTGACGACCGTAGCTTTGGGTAGGGACTCTTAAACCGTCGGTGCTGCTGTCGTTGGCCATCTTTAACTTGCGTGATTTTCTTAGGGTTTATTATCAACGTATGGTAATGTTTTTCTTAGGGTTTATATTCAACAGAAATCAAAATCTTATCAAACCAACTTCTAAACCTAAACCAACTTGCGTGATCAGTTTCCATTTTAATCCTAAACCTATCAACGTAGTTGTGGGCCTGTTGTATTTTCCAGGGCTAAGCCCATTTATGAGAAGTTTTTTTTTATCGTATGGATTTATTATTTATTGCAAATTATGAGAACTGTTACATAGACGATTCTACAATGAACAATTTCTTCCGACCCTTATTAGATTCACGACAGACAACACCTCCTTCACCTCATTCTTCATGCTCTTGATGGACACTTCACACTTCCCTCTCTACGTAGAATCCTGGCGAATGACTATAATTGTACATCGCTGGAGATCTCCTGTACACTTGCCTCCAATAATCTGCAAATTTATTAATAAATCGCAGTATCTGGGATATGAACCCCAGACCTCTGGGTGTAGAAGCATTAATTAACCCTTGGTCAACCAATGGGCCAAGGGAGCTTCCACGAGGTTTTAATATAAAAAGAAGTTTGAAAAAAAAAAAAAAAATCAAAACAAGAAAACAAAATTTTACGATCCGTAAATATTTTCCCCCTCTTGAGTCTTTTGGTTACAAAACAAAACTGTAGTCTCTACTCTCTATTTTGTACCCGACGGTTCGATACATCATACATAAACGCCTTTTGTTGGCTCCGAAACTGTAAGAGCATCAACAATGGTTGAGTCCTTAAAAGGATCCTTAAACATATTTTAATTATACTTTATAACAATTTTAAAGTTAAGAGTTTTTGATGAATCCTTAAAATTTTCTTTGTCCAATGGTGAGTCCTTAAGTAGGTTTCTTAAAAAAAACCCTAATCAAATCATAAGTAACAAATGAACCAGAGAGATTCGTACCGTGAGGAAGCGATTGGAGCCACTGGAATCGCCTTTCTCTCCGATTTGATTTGCAGAACCCACTGATTAGGTCAACGAACTACTGTTGGTGACCACGCCGACGGTGGAGATGAACATCACGGCTTATTGTTTACAACGTTGCTTCATCTTTTACTTCTGATTTGATGATGTATATCGCCGGAATTGAAGCTCAAAGATATTCGCCGTCGGAGAAAACAAAGAGAAGAGAGAGAGGGTCGAGAAAACTGAATCGTGAAAGATTTTTTTTTTTTGTTTTTTTTTTCACTTTTCTTCCCAATGAAATGACGACACGTAGCGCCTCTTACATCAACAAAAAAACCTTAAATAAGAAACGGACCTTGGGTTTTATTTCTGTTTTGATTTATATTTGGGCCTTTTATTACAAGAAACTATGGGTAGAGCCCTTTAAGGTACTACCATTGTTGTTGCTCTAAGTCCATTTTTTTATGTTGCTCCGTTATAGCCTGTAGACTTGGCTTTGCGTTTGACCAAGTTATGCTGAATACTAATATTTACAAATTTTCATCTAGTCAGAAGTCAGTATCCTGTGTTATTAGTTCAGCTGTTTGATAAAACGTTAATATACTAAATTATACCCTTTAAACTTATTCAGGTAACATCTTGCATCTTTCATCTGTAAAATTCTTCCTTAGTGTTTCGAAATGACTCTATGTCACTTTACTTGTAAAATATCTAGTCAGTCAAATATGGGGGCAAAAAATCATGGACTTGTCTTACCTGATGCCAACATAGATGCAACTTTAAATGCGCTACTTGCTGCGGGGTTTGGTGCCGCTGGACAGAGATGCATGGCACTGAGTACAGTGGTTTTTGTTGGGGATTCAAAATCATGGTACTGCTAACTTTATTTATTCAAATTACTCCAAGTATTTGGGGTGTCACCTTCTCGAATAACTTATATTTCTTGTGATAAACACATTTTCCTTTAATCTTTTTCTCTCCTATGGTTTCCAAGGTCCACATCTTTAGGGGGCCTAAATCATATATAGGATTATTAATTTTGATTGACTACTGTTGTCATCCTGTTAATATTAAAATTAACTGAAGAATCTGAGTGAGGCCTGTTGATTTTCATTTGACGGTATTGAAAGATTAGCTTTAACTTTTCTAATACTAACCAGGGAGGATAAACTCGTTGAGCGAGCGAAAGCCCTTAAAGTCACATGTGGGTCAAAACCAGATGCAGACCTGGGTCCTGTGATTAGTAAACAGGTATTTCCGCGCACAAACGTCTGCTACAGGTCGTGACTACTGCTGAACTTACATGTGTAACAATTACGTTTAGTTTTGCATTTTTGTCGGTTGTTTAATATGTATACCTTATTGCTAAATTTTGATGTGGATAGGCAAAAGAACGGATATGACGCTTGATTCAGTTTGGTGTAGATGATGGTGCTAAATTGCTGCTTGACGGAAGAGATATTGTGGTATTTTCCAATTCTCCATATTTACTGCTATTGCAACATACTCAACCCTTAAATATTGTACTACCCTCCACATTCTTACGAAATAGTAATCATCAAGAACCGCAGAAATATTTTGATCTGTTTTTGCTGGACTGATATTGTTGACTTAATATTTTTTTATGTAATCTTGAAAACAATGCAAAGATCGACTGGTCCGAGAAGTTTATACTATACATTTTCTTTTATAACAAACAAGTTCCAGGATACGAGAAAGGGAATTTTATCGGTCCTACAATTTTATATGGTGTTACCCCAGACATGGAGTGCTACAAGGTATTTTCTAGCATCCATAATAAATAGAACAATTCTTGGGTTCACCCCCTAGGGGATGAATCTATTCATTCACCCCCTTTTTTATGACCAATTAGAATTTGACATGTCATCTATTTAAAGAATAAATAAATTAAATCATTTAAAAGATAAAAATTGAATTAATTATAGGACCCACTAATTTTCTTTCACGTGTCTCTCTAAATCCAGGAGAAAAAAAAAAAAAAATTTACCCTAAATATGAATTGATATATAAATCATTAACCCTAACCTTAATCTCTATTCTTCTTTTTCTCACATATTATCAAAAAAGTTTAGTTTCATTGGAGGAAGAAGATTATTGCTTCCACACAATTTGACTGTAAGTCAAAATACTTGTTTATATGTGCATCAAACTTTCTTTGTATCATTTAATTTTTATCAATTGACGAATTTTTTGTAGAGCCATGCCTATGTGATAGATTTAAAAGCACTTACAAGCATCAATTTTTTATAAAATTTGCAGAGCCATATTTATTAGATATTTAATGTTGACTTATGTTTATAAGTAATGATGATGCTTGTTACGTTTTCTTTTCTCTTGATCTTAAAGTCCCATCATTAACACAAAACTAAATTGTGTTTCTTCTTAAAATTGATCTTTGTGTTTATATTTTCTCATACGATTGTTTTTTTTCACTACATTAATTCTTTTCTTCTTCGTAATACTATTGAATATGAAGTGAAAAATTGTTTGTCTTTTCTAAACATGTCAGTAAGTGATTTTTTATGCTTTTTGTTTGTCTTATTATATTGATTAGTGTAGATTATAATGGAGAGTAGTAAAAAATCGTCTGAGCGTCAATCTGAGGAAAAATATGATTCAGTAAGTGAAGAAGAAACTTTAGTTAGTGAATTCGAAGAAGAAGAAGATGACATAGCCAATAAAGAGGATTATGTTAAAACTGAAGAGAAAAGAGATGATCTGTGTATTGGAATGGAGTTTAGTTCTGATGAAACTGCACATAAAGCTTACAAAAAATTTGCAGGTGAACATGGTTTCAATGTAAGAAAACAACAAAGGAAGAAAAAAAATGATAAAGTAGTAAGGCTTCAATATGTTTGCTCAAAAGAGGGGTTTAGAAAAGAACCTAAGATCAAGACATGTTATTCACAACCAATTACACGGTGTGACTGTAAAGCTCATATGACTTGCTTCCTTCAGAAGACGGGAAAATATAAGATTGTGTCTTTCAGCCAAGATCATAATCATGATTTAGTGAAGACGCCTATGAAGCATTTGATGAAGGGAAACCGGACGTTCTCTCTCGCTCAAACACAACATGCTGATGATGCCGAGATGCCAGGAATTTCAGCAAAAGCAACAGTTGAAATGATGAGTAGAGAAGTTGGGGGGCGAGAAAATCTAGGTTTTTTGGAGAAAGACTATCGGAATTATATTTACAGAAAGCGAATGGAAAAAATGGTAAAAGGAGATGCTGGAGCAGTTTTGGAATACTTTCAGAAAAAAAAGAGGATAATTCATCTTTTTTTTATTCATTGCAACTTGATGAAGACGATATGATCACGAATATCTTCTGTGTAGATGATCGGTCTATACGTGATTATAATCTTTTTGGAGATGTCGTCTGCTTTGACACAACTTATAAGACCAATGAATATGATAGACCATTTGCTCCATTTGTAGGGGTCAATCATCATAAGCAAACTGTAGTGTTTGGTGCTGCTCTCTTATATGATGAAACCATTGAGTCATATAGGTGGCTTTTTGAGACTTTTCTTGGAGCAATGTCTGGAAAACAACCAAAAACTATTCTTACTGACCAATCTGCAGCAATGGCGAACGCAATAGTGAAGGTGTTCCCTGAAACAAAACATAGGTTGTGTGTTTGGCACATTTACCAAAATGCTGCAAAGAAGTTGAGTCATGTATTTCATGGGTCAGGACAATTTGCCACAGACTTTGGAAAGTGTGTATATGACAATGAGGAAGAAGAAGATTGGTTATTGGCATGGAGTAATATGCTCAAGAAGCATAATTTGATAGAGAATAAATGGTTAAAGAATGTGTTTGAGGTGAAAGAAAAATGGGCAATGGTATATGGACGTCATACTTTTACGGCAGATATGGTGAGAACACAGCGTAGTGAAAGTATGAATAATATTTTGAAAAGATACTTGAAGAGTAGTTATGACTTGTTGTCCTTCTTTGAACATTATGAGAGAGTGTTGGATGATCGGAGATATAATGAGTTAACTGCTTACTTCAAAATGATGCATACCTCTTCGGTATTATCTGCTACTGTAGAGATGTTGCAACATGCAGAGGAAGTATATACACCCGAAGTTTGTAAGTTGTTTCAGAAGCAATATACAGCTATCGGTGATTATGTTGCCAAAAAAATCAGTAAGTCTGAGATAGTATATGAGTACAAAGTATCTTATCGTGGTGGACCGCGAGAGCATTTGGTTAATTATGATGCTGAAAACCAAACGATACAGTGTAGTTGCATGAAGTATTTATTTGCTGGGATCTTATGTCAGCATGCATTGAAAGTATTGGATAAGAAGGATGTTAGGAGAATTCCATCTAGCTACATCTTAAATCGATGGAGTAGAGAGGCAAAATCACGAAGCATATCTTCTTATCGTTCAGAGATATCTAATGGAACAGTAACACAATCGATTGGAAAGCGTTATAGTCATTTATGTCGTAATTTCCGTGAGATTGCATCTCTTGCTGCTGAACATGTAGAATTGACGATGTGTGCGAATGAAGCTGCAAGCCAGTTGCTTAAAAAATTGGAGGAAAAGAAGAAAGAACTTGTGAAAGCTAATGCATGGATGCTCCCAACTTCAAATGTTGAACATGGGGAAAGAGAAGAAGAGGACGAAGTTCTAAATGCACGTGGAATTAAAAGAAAAACTACTGTTGGAAGACCAAAGAACAAACCAGTCGGACCCCATGGTCGATACTTGAATGTTCTTGAAACGAAAAAACGTGGTACATCAAAGAGAAAATTATCATTCCAGATATTTAAAAAATAATTTTTTTTCGTTTATGTCCAATTTCCACCGAAATGTGACTTTTTTTCTTTTTTTTTTTTTGTTTTTTGAGCAAAACACCGAAATGTGACTTTGTCAACATATTTATGTATATTAATTAGAAGACAATCGATAAATGTTTCAGGATTCAACATTTGCTTCCGATATCCAGTTATCTGTAGCTAGTGAAAATCCGACTTTACAGACGAGACCATTTTCTTCACAAGTGCATCAGGTAAATAATTTATTCTTACTAATTTTATTTGACTTTTCAGTGGCTTCGTCCATATATGAATGTATATTAATTAGAAGATAAAATCGATAAATGCTGCAGGATTCAACATTTGCTTCCGATATCCAGTTATCTGTAGCGAGTGAAAATCCGACTTTACAGACGAGACCATTTTCCTCACAAGTGCATCAGGTAATTAATTTATTCTTACTAATTTTATTTGACTTTTCAGTCGTTTTGTCCATATACTGTATGTATGTATATTAATTAGAAGATAAAATCGATAAATGCTTCAGGATTCAACATTTGCTTCCGATATCCAGTTATTTGTAGCTAGTGAAAATCCAACTTTACAGACGAGATCATTTTTCTCACAAGTGCAACAGGTAAATAATTCATTCTTACTAATTTTATTTGACTTTTCAGTCACTTCGTCCACATATGTATGTATATTAATTAGATGATAAAATCGATAAATGCTTCAGGATTCAACGTTTGCTTTCAATATCCAGTTATCTGTAGCTAGTGAAAATCCAACTTTACAGACGAGATCATTTTTCTCACAAGTGCAACAGGTAAATAATTTATTCTTACTAATTTTATTTGACTTTTCAGTCGTTTTGTCCATATAGGTATGTATATTAATTAGAAGATAAAATTGCTCCAGGATTCAACTTTTGCTTCAGATATCTAGTTATTTGTAACTACCGGTAATCCGAATTTACAGACGAGACCATTTTCCTCAACTACCAGTAATCCGACTTTACAGACGAGACCATTTTCCTCACAAGTACAAGAGGTAAATAATTCATACTTATTAATTTATTTGATTTTTCAGTCAAATTTTTTATGATTTGAAATCTTATATTTTGTAGGAATTTGACAAAAGTTACAGAAATTTATTATAAAGCTCGATTATTTTGAAGGCAAAGGCGGAAAACATATGGAAGTACTTAAGCTTTACTATTAATTCTTTTGGTTATATGTTTTTTTTTTTTACCTTTTAGACCAAAAAAAAAAAGAAGAAAGATAATATTTTAAAAACAAAGTTGAAGGAAACTTGATAGAGAAACGTGAAAGAAATAATAGTGGGTTCTAAATTTATTGATTTAATTTATTTATTCTTTAAATAGATGACATGTCAAATTCTAATTGGTCATCAAAAAGGGGGTGAATGATTGGGTGAACCCAAGAATTGTTCAAATAAATAAAAACAAGTAAACACCCTTTTCTATCTCATAGATATCATCTTAATACTAATATAATTCTAACATATATTTCAGCATTCTACTATTTACTCTTTCAATAGGTATGGGAACGGTGCTGCAATTTTCAAGAAAGTTTCAGATGAACATAGAAGCAGGACATGTATGAAGAACTTTAGACCCTATACACTACACGCATTTGGTATGCAACTGATGACATGGTTGATCTCTTCTTTTTTTAGTGTTGTTAATGTTTTCTCAGATCGGTATTAATGTTCTAATCCCGGTTCCATTACCGTTCTTCTCCTTCACCGGGATTAAGGCCTCGTTCGCAGGAGATCTTAACTTCTATGGTAAAAAGTTTTGTCAAAACTAAACAGAACAAGTGGAACATTGTTGCAGGCAAAGTAGGAGTGGACTTTTTCACTCAGATCAAAACTGTTACACAACACAGTGGAAAGATATTTCAACTTCAGTATCTCTTGCAATGCCAACGTCTCAAAAGCAATAATGAGACCCCAACTTCAATTACTTTTTACTTTTGGATTTTCGAATCAGCTTCAAGCAGAACCCTTTGTTTCTTTTTTCAGCTGCCTAGTATTTTCTTAGGCTTTGTTCCTTTCTTCTTTTAATCACTTTGGGAATAAGAAAAAATAAAATCCCAAATCATATACTATATGAAAGTAGTTGAACTCTCTCCAGCTATGTGACACGTCAGCACACCAATCGATGCCACGTGTCCATGATTCTAGATTGGTCGAAACATCTTCCATTCCTTTGGTTGCTTCATCAGCCTCTTCGTCTTCTCCGTAATTTTGTTGTGATAGTCATTAGTCAATGCTGGTTCATATGCCTTGAATAAATTAATTAGCATACCTCAAGTTCAGCTGTAACATCACATATTTGTTTTCAAAGCATCTAAAACGTTTCTCCCAATATGATCTTCAAAACAAGTTTCTAGAATTCATTATGATCCATTATATTTTGGACGTCAACCAGGGGCAGAGCACATGGCTTCTTCGGCATGATTCCAGAAGTTTTTATGGCTTTCATTGTCTAACGAAGAAGAGGAAGAGCTCGTCAATCTTAGTTTGGAGGTAATGTTTAATCTCTGAATCTCGGCTATTCAACGTGTTTATTGTCTCGATGATTATTCAATCCCGATGAATCTTGATTTACTGTCTTGTTCGATTATTCAACGTCTTGCCTTAAAGCTCACACCCAAACGTTATCGCTTTCGAAATTTATTATAATCGTCGTCATCATCACTAAGTAGATAAATTTTGTTGAAGGGTTTTCGAGTGATGGGGTCTCTCATTCGTGAATGTGTTGGGTTTCAGCAATTTCCAGTGGCTACCCAGGAAAAGCTGATTGAATATTTCGGTGTTTTTTTGGTAAACAAAGGCATGTTGTTCCTATTTCTTTGGTGCTTAAGTCGGTTTCTCGGATTCTCCGTTGTGATTAGGAGATAATGGGTTTTTGTAATTGCAGAATATGAACTCAATGGCAGTTGTTGTTCTGGGTGAAGGCGGTGTCGGAACATCACCCACTCTCTTATCGGCGGACAAGTCGTCCGTGTCAGTCCTTTCCAGGTACGTAATTTAGTTTTCCTAAAACTTGCTGAAGTTTTATATTTAAGTGTGTGTGTGTGTGTGTCTGTTTTTACGATAGTTGTTGTGTTCTTTGGATTTTGGGCAGGTTTCTTGTGAACAGAACCATAGATGTCTTGCTCTATGTTGATCGTTTGGATGTGTAAAGAGTCCATGAGCTAGATAAGCAAGTTGTTAAAGCAATCACCCAAACCTTTGAAAATGTTATATAGTGCAAAACCTTGCTTGTTCTGACTGCTCAATTTTTCCCTCCGGATGAACTTTCCTACGAAAATTTTTCCACCAAGAGATCAGAATATCAGATTCTCACCTCAAAACTATCTGTGCTGGTTCGAAGATGTGAAAACAAGAATTTGAGGTAGGGTTATATACATATATCAGTCTAAGAAAATTGTTTTTCCAATGTATGTTTGGTTCATTGTAGCAAGAATCAGTTTCATTCTTCTACTGGCTTGTAGGAATCTGGCAATCACGGCAGTCTATGTAGAGAACATTTGAAGATTCAGCAAGAACTATAAGGATGAAAAGCTTTGGGTTTTAAAAGTTACCTACCTACTCTTTTGTCTTAGGCTCCTTCCGAATGGTGAAGTGTGGATCCCGAACTTGGTTAATCAATAACTGATTAGCAACAAACCAGAGGGAAGCAATTCATGTAAACAAGAAGATGGTAGATGGATCTTACTCTGATGATTAAGGAAAGAAACTCATCCTTCTTATCATCGACGCTCAGGTAAGAAAGAAACACAGTTTGATTTACTGTGGCCAGACAGTAAATAATCATCTTAGGTTATTTCCTTGATTATGCAAGCAAACTTTTTCTCTGATTTGATTGCATATCTAACAAGAAAGAACTTGGAACAATTTGATTTTGGTGACGAATCTGATTTTGCTCAATATACTTTGTTGTTGCTTGAGTAGTTTTGAAGACCTATACGTCATGATATTGTAGTTTTGCTATATTTGGCTTCAAAATTTTACGGAGGATTACTACTCAATAGCTATATGAGGATCATAACGTTTAAGTTCCTGATTCTCCCGAGGAGAGAATTTGCTTCATTAAGAAAAGATGGATTCACATGCATATCTACTCAGTAAAGTGGGTCAGATGATGAGGTTACATTCACCAATGCATCTTGAAATAGTCTGTTTTGGTGACATTATTTTCCTATTGAGGAGTTGTACTTATGTTTTTTATAATTTGTCCTAACTCCTAACTAACTAATTGATCGTTATGAACATTATGGTGCTCTATTTAGAAGAAGAAATTTTATTACCAATGGGTCGGTAACTTGATTGGTGAGCATAATAAAAAATGAAGTAAAAAGATGATTTTTATGCAAAAGAAATAAATGAATATGCAGATTAATTAAGTATATCTAAGCTAAGAAAACAAGTAATTTGAAAAATGTTTCGGGCGCTATCTTTATTACTAATATTAACTTGTGACAGTAACTTAACTAAACTATCCAAGAACATTAAGTTGAATATGCTTAGATTGAACATGCAAGATATTTTTAATAACGACGGTGTGAGATAATATATTTTGTGTAAAAAAAAATCGAAACTTTCATCGTCTCACAATCTAAGCATATGACAAAAACAAAACAAAAAAAATAAAATAAGAATTGAATCAAAGAGCTCAGACTCTTGAACAACAACAAAAAAGAACTCAAGGTCATTGGTTTTTCATATGCACTAATATAGCTGGACTTTTTAAAGACAGTTACAAGTTATATTTACATTCAAAAAATGATGCATTTAACTATACTTTATATAAAACGACATTATATAAAATAGTTAAACACAAGCCCGCACGTAGTGCGGGTATTCATCTAGTTTTCCTAATTTGTCAAATAGAACTCCTAAATTTACATTTGTTGAGTCGTAAACTCATAAAAGTCAAAGTGAATGAAACTTATATACTAAGTTATTGTGTTTCTTCATTCCCAATTAAAACCCAAAAATCCCTAAATTCAATATACTCGGATTAAGAAAATTTGAGTTTTCTTTTGATTGTTTTTATCTAAATATCATCTAAACAACTCAATATACATGGACCATGACCAAACAAAACATACTCGGATTAATAAAAACAGATATATCAACTTTAGCTTTTGGGAACCGGTTGCGGTTCTAGTTCTTATACCCAATCATACACACGAAATCTAATAATATTTGACACCAAAAACACTAACCAACCCTTGGCCTTCGATATAAAGTAGTATCATATTTAGTGGAAACTAGTTCCAAAAAATTCACTAGTTTAAAATGTTTCTAGATTCAATAGCATTTATCCCATGCATAAACGTTATATGTATTTTTTGAACTTTAAGATGTTGTAGACTCATCAAAGTCAAAGTTAGCAATTAATCTTTAATTTATTGTGTTTCTTCTTTTCCAATTTACACGAACTATGACCCCAAAAAAACTTAAACCTCTCTCGTCTTCCACTATAAAATTAAACTAGTTCCAAGAAAAAAGAAACTTGTTTCCAACCATATTAGATTTACTATTAGCATTTAGTATGATTTATCACATATGCATTTACCTTTAACCTTTTCTATAAATTTTCTAAAGTGTCTTTCACGTGAATCACAAATCTCTTTGTTTTTCATCTCTCTAACTCTCTTTCAAAAAATGGCGTCCACAAATGTTGAATTCACTTGCTATGTTGGCAATTTGGAGTCAGACACAGAAGAAAATGATCTTAAGAATGCATTTTCTCAGTTTGGCGACGTTATAGCTTCTAAGGTTCGATTTTCTTGTTTGACAAAAACAAAAAAAAAAAAAAAAGGTTCGATTTTCTTTTCACTTTTCCCGCATTGGTATTGTATTTTTATTCATTTATAATTTGGTTATCTTTGATTCACAGGTCATTCGCGAAAGAGATTACGAAAGTGATTATGAGTATTATGATTCTGAAGACGACTATGAATGTGAGAGTTCAGTCTACATGACAACGAGGAAGGTATATGGATTTGTTACTTTTAAAGATGAGAAATCAATGAAGGATGCCGTTAAGGGAATGAACGGTAAGAAGCTCGGGTTAAAGACCATTAATGTTCAAGAGTCTCACTCATCTCGCAGGAGTCGTCGTCATCATGATGGTGGACGTGTTGGTTCGAAAAGGACTTAGAAGATCAAAATGGTTACATAAGAAATAAGGTTTAAGTCTTTGTAACCATTATCTTTAGTATTGATCAACATTTCTAGAAGGTGGTGCTTTGAATAAAGTAGTTATAATTTGAGAAGTTATCAATAAAATCTCTCTTTTTTTAATTACATTAAACAATATTGACATGTTTAAAATGAATAGTAAATTTTGAAATATACTTGTAACCATAATAATCATTAATTGATAAGTATCACTTGCGATACGGAAGCATAAAAAATAAAAATTAACTCACATGTGTTATGAATATTGGGTATTATGTGGATGTCCATTATATGCCCATTAGGATATTCTAGAAGATTCTAGATTATTTGTATTCCAAACTAAAACTCTAGCTATGTATCTCTATATATATGTACTACTTCCTCCGTTTCGTTTTAGTTGTCGTTTAAGGTTTTTTTCACACAAATTAAGAAAGCATTAAATTTTTTGTTTTACTCTTATTAATATATTTTATAAAAAAAATTTCATTGGCCAAAACATTAAAACTGTAGGGATAAAACTGGAATTTTCACCAAACATTTGCATTGAAAACCTAAAACGACAACTATTATGAAACAAAATTTAAATCCTAAAACGACAACTAAACTGAAACGGAGGGAGTATGACTCAATTCCCGAGTCTTTCTAAAAACAGTCCTAGGTTTCAAATGAACCAAATCTCACCCACTTTCTCTTACCAAATATGGTATCTCTTGCATTATTGTTGCCGGATCTTTGCTCCGTTTTCCTTTTCCGGGAACTTCTTCTTAGTGACGATTTTCTGTATGTGTCTATCAACTCCAGCTCTGTTCTCTTACTGTTCTCAAATCCCTTAGCATCTCTTTCCCTCTGCTGTTAAGATGTCTCTGGTCTTAAACCAAGCTGCTAAAGCTCCTGCTCCCCCTCTTCCAAGCATCTCCGATTACATCTTGGTTTCATGTCTTTGAAAGTGAAGACAGAGTCATATCTCCCCTGAAGGCCTTCCTGCAAAAGCAGAGAAATTTCGTTTTTTACATCTTCTCTAGCTCTAAGCTAAGCTCTTTTAGTTTAAACTTGTGCTATACTCAAGCTTCCCCATGACAAAGAGAGTTAGACCAAGTTGGTACAGAGAATCTCCTCCAAAGGTGGATAACTCGGCGGTGCTAGCTCGCCTCCATCTCAGCTTAGTAGGGCGTATGTTCCACCAAGGAGGACGCAGCATTGAAGCTTTTGTCTCTCTTCTCCCCAAGGAGCATATTTGGAATGTTGAAGGAAGAGTCCGCGAAGTTTCTTTTGGTGGCTCTCGATTCTAATTTTTCTTTGAATCTGAAGCAGATCTACATAAGATCTTCAACAAACGTCCTTACCATTACAAAAAATGGTCTTTTGCTCTTGAGAGATGGGAACCTAACTCAGGAAATGCCTTCCCAGACTCAATGACTTTCTGGGCTAGAACTGAAGGCATCCCACCAGAATTTTGGGAAGAGCAAATCCTTACAAATTTTGAAAACTCTTTTGGTGTGGTTCGCAGAGTGGACACTAACAAAGAATTCAAGTCTCTGTTAAAACAGATGCTCCTCTTCGCTTTAACAAGAATGCTCAGATTCCAACTGGAGAAACCGAATATAAGTATTCAAATTTCGATGCATATTAAGTAAATAATCCTAATCTTCAAATTTGTTTCCCTTATCTTGTTATTTTTTTTTCTTTTTATAATATGTTTTTACACTACCATTTATCTTCATATTCGATGTGGAATTTTTTACACCATACTATTTTTTTTTAATAGGTTGAATAATTTATACTCGGTTTAAAAACTGTTAATCATGGCATATGCAGAAAATAAATATTTTTTTTATTATATGGATGATGTGATGATTTTTTTTTCATAAAAATAGAATAAAAAAAGGTGAAGATAATGATTAATAAAAAATTAATAAGTAATATATAAAATATGATTTGTTCAATTTGATTGGTTATTAAACAGTTTTAAAATGATTACAGTATTTTTGTTTTAAAAGAAAAGTAAATTATAGAGATTAGTATTTTTACATTGTTATCCTTAATGACTATCGAGGGTGGGAACCAAAACTTATCTACATATATACGCACTGGCACAGGCGAAATTCTCTTTCTTGTTTTTATTGCGAGAAACTAACTTTATATTCTATATAAGATGCCATCTGGTTATTCAAATGCTAATTTGGGTTTGGAATGTCATGTTTGTATCGCTATGTCAATTTTTTCTTATATTAAGATATTTCTAATTACCTAAAAAAATAGTACATATTGTATTTACTTTGCCTGCCAGATTATCTTCGGTAACCCTAAACCAGTTAATTTGTTCTTTTGACCTTTTATTTGTAATGATACTTTGATGTAATTTTTTATAAAGGATAAAGATATATTTAAATATGTACTTCCATAATATTAGTAAGGGGATGACTATTCAACTAGATTTTTATTTCTTCTCATTTTGATTATTATTACATTTAAATTTATTTTAAAAATCTTTCTTATCATTTTGCTATTTTAAAGAAATCACCAAAAAAAAATTGCTTGGGACAATCAATATAAATATATAATGTTAGATAAAGTATGCCAATATGCACATGTTCTTAAGTACATTTACATATCGTAGTAAAAACAGATAAACTAACCGTTTTTTAGGGGTGTTCAATCTGGATTTCGGTTCGTTTTTTCGATTTTTAGAGTTTATAATAGTATCCAAATTAAAACCTAATCTAGAATAGATGGTTTGTTAGGACTTCGAATTCGGGTTTTAGTAAAATATATCTTTAATTTACAAAAAAACTATGGTTTTAGATCAATTTTGTTTTGTTCGGTTCAGTTCGAATTCAATTTTGATTTACTAGATATAGAAAAAAAAATCCATTCAATCCTTATTAAAATATGGTTTAGTTTTCGGATTGGGTATTTAGGTTAGGTTTATCAGTATTTTCCAACCAAAACTCTATTAAACCGTATTATTATTATTTAGTTAAGGGGTTAGAAAAATAACTATTCAAAAAAATTAGAGTTTAATTTAAAATATTTTTAAAACAAAATCAATAAAGAAAATATCGTACGGTCCAAAATCCTCGTGCGTGATTCTAGACAGATGTACCAACAAAAAAAGAAACAGCAGTAAATAGACCGTTCATTTTACATCCGCTCCCATCCACCAATCACCAATTTTTTTAATTATTTATTTCTCTCTTCGTAGATATTTTCACCGCCAAAACATCACAAAAACATTACACAAATATCCCTATTTTCTCTCAAAAATTACAACTAAACCACGTAATTATCAACCTACCATAGGGGTATAAAAGTAACTTCAACAAAAATAAAGATTTTATACCAAAATAAAAAAAAAGATCTTCCTCAATAATAGTGACAGAAGAAGAGTGAAGCTCCCTTCTCAGAGAACAACAATGGCGACAATGGCAGCAATTGGAGCGTTAAAGTTTCCTTCTTCTTCTACTTCTTCCTCTTCTTCAAATCTCACTCGCAGATCATCATCATCTCTTCGTAAACCTCTCTCCTTCTCTTCCTCTTCTCTTACCGGAGAAAAACTTTCCACGCCGGAGAAAACCATCTCCAATCACCACCGTCGTCGTCAAAGTAAGAGAACACCATCAATCATCTCTCCTAAAGCAGTTTCAGATTCACAAAACTCACAAACTTGCCTTGATCCTGACGCTAGCAGAGTAAGTTATTATCTCTTTCAATTTTAACCAGAGATCCGAAATTTTCGGAGTTAGGGTTTTATAATTTTCGAAATTGCAGAGTGTGTTGGGGATAATATTGGGAGGAGGAGCTGGAACAAGATTGTATCCATTGACGAAGAAGAGAGCTAAACCAGCTGTTCCTTTAGGCGCGAATTATCGATTAATCGATATTCCAGTGAGCAATTGCTTGAACAGTAATATATCGAAGATCTATGTGCTTACACAGTTTAACTCTGCTTCTTTGAATCGTCATCTTTCTCGTGCTTATGCTAGTAACATGGGTGGTTATAAGAATGAAGGTTTTGTTGAGGTTCTTGCTGCTCAACAAAGTCCAGAGAATCCAAATTGGTTTCAGGGTACTGCTGATGCAGTGAGGCAGTATTTGTGGTTGTTTGAAGAACACAATGTGTTGGAGTTTTTGGTACTTGCAGGGGATCATTTGTACCGTATGGATTACGAGAAATTTATACAAGCGCATCGCGAGACTGATGCGGATATTACGGTTGCTGCGCTTCCTATGGATGAGAAACGTGCTACTGCTTTTGGATTAATGAAGATTGATGATGAAGGAAGGATTACTGAGTTTGCTGAGAAACCACAGGGAGAGCAATTGAAAGCTATGAAAGTAAGTTTAGTTTTCGCTAGTTTATATGGTCATGAATATTGTTGGTGATGGTGGTCTTGTATTTTTTGTTAGGTTGATACTACAATCTTAGGTCTTGATGATGAGAGAGCGAAAGAAATGCCTTTTATTGCTAGTATGGGAATTTATGTTGTCAGTAAAAATGTGATGTTGGACTTGCTCCGGGAGCAGTTTCCTGGAGCTAATGATTTCGGGAGTGAAGTTATCCCCGGTGCTACCGCTCTTGGGCTGAGAGTATGTGATCGCTCTATACTCGTGTTCTTGGTTGAATATTTAGTGTTTCGAGTTTAACATCGGTTTTTTTCCACTTATTCAGGTGCAAGCTTATCTGTATGATGGGTACTGGGAAGATATTGGTACCATTGAGGCATTTTACAATGCGAATCTTGGAATAACCAAGAAACCCGTACCGGATTTCAGGTACTCATTTGATCTTTTGTGATATAAGTTGTGGTTTTAAGAGGTAGAAACACAACCAATCTTCATAATCTTTTGCAGTTTTTATGACCGATCAGCACCAATCTACACACAGCCTCGATACTTACCTCCATCAAAGATGCTTGATGCTGATGTTACGGATAGTGTGATAGGTGAAGGTTGCGTTATTAAGGTAATACCGCTTTGCTAAATTACTCTTTCAGATCTTGAAATAGATTCCTGGACTAACTGCTTTTCTTCCGGTTACTTCCTCTCTGTGTTTAATTCAAGAACTGCAAAATCCACCATTCCGTGATTGGTCTTCGGTCTTTAATATCGGAGGGTGCAATCATAGAAGACACCTTGTTGATGGGTGCAGACTACTACGAGGTATGCTACAGTTTCAAAACAATTCACTTCATTTCATTTGATCAGGACCTTTTTTGTATAATTTTCTAAAAAATGGCCATTACGTGCTTAATGATCCCGCGCTTCAGACTGACGCTGATAGGACACTCCTGGCTGCAAAGGGAAGCATTCCGATTGGCATTGGCAGAGACTCCCACATCAAAAGAGCTATCATTGACAAGAATGCTCGTATTGGGGATAATGTCAAGGTCATTTACATTTTAGTACATAATTTTACACTCTGTTTCCTCTGTTCCAAAGTGACTCTATTAACATCCTTTGGTCTGTGCATTAATTCAGATCATTAACACGGACAACGTGCAAGAAGCGGCAAGAGAGACAGATGGATACTTCATCAAGAGCGGCATCGTTACAGTGATCAAGGATGCTCTGATTCCTAGCGGAACCGTTATCTAAGAGACCCTTTATCATCTTAAACAATATGGTTTTGAGACCTTGTGTTACCTCCAGTGATGCTATATGTAATGTATCCGAGGTCAGGGCCAATGCATCCCCTGCTTCTCCTTAAATAAACTCTACTTCATATTCTAGTTTTCTCATAACCAATTGGCGATATATGCGTATCGAATATCAATTTACATCCAAAACTGACATGTACGTAGAGCAGCAACGTCGTGTACGTGAAATTCGCGATATCTTAACATAACTTCCAAAATACAAGCGTTCTTATATATGAAACTACCCTAATCTACATCATATATTTGATTTAATCAAAGTATAAATGTGGTAATAGAGCCGTGCCAACACTAAACGATATCAGAAGCGACTAAAAAAAAATTTGCCCCAGTTCAATAGAAAAAATCGTCTACATAAATAAACATCATCGTCATAAAATGAAAACAAATAAAAGAACTAAACTAACAAACAAAAGATTAGCTCTAAAACATTTTTTTATTATTTTCTCCACAAAATGGTTAACTAAACTTTCAAAATCAACGTTTCTAATCAATTCTTTTTTGATGGATAAGATACCCATGTCACTCAATCTTTCTTGTGACATACTCGAACAAATATACGATTTGAAAAACTTTTTTCAACAGATACAACCGAAACCGAAACCATCAACACCTTAATTATTTTAAGTAATCGTTTGTTTTTTTAATTAATTAATTAAGCGCATTTGGCGAAATCAATAGATTGTTGAAGCCCAATATTTGCTTCCTATTTTTAACACATTATTTTCAGCATAAGTCCCATTAAAATATATTTATTAAACTCTATAAAAAGTAGATATATATCCCTAATTTTTTCCCTAAATTTTGATGCCCTAAGCGAATGTTTATTTTTTCTCCACTGCATGTGAATGATGTTTTAGTTCAAACTATAATGAAAGAGTAGGAAAAAAAATTAGAAACCAAAAATGCAAAGAGATTAGTAACACAATACCATTATAACTCTTTAGTTCGTCTATATATCATCTCCCAAACTCGCTTTGTCTTTTTTTTTTTTTTTTCTGCAAAGAACACTTATATTGATTGTATACGATCAAAATACATGAGTTCAGTCAACCAAATTGGTGGATTTTTACAATCGGAATAAAAGGTCCTATTTAAACAGCCTTTTTTTGCTAGAGAATGAGCTACTTTATTACATAACCGGTTTGTATGAACAAAGGAAACATCCCTAAACTTTGCTTTCCAAAAGAGAATATCTCGGTGCAGTCCATCAATTGCTATATCATTGGAGACACCATTGATGATGTTAATTAAAACCTCGCAGTCTCCTTCAAACATAACTGCCGTAAATCCCCTTAACCATGTTTGTTGTAATGCAAAAAGTAGAGCTTGCCCCTCAGCTTCAAGCGGTGATCGTGCTTGGTGTAATGTTGCTGCTCCCCAACATTTAGAGAAACCATTGCTGTCCCGAATGATCCATCCTCCCGTCACGTGACCCGAAACAGAATTAAACCCGGCATCATAATTGCATTTAATAACGTGAGTAGGAGGACGGGTCCAATTGGTATCAATGATCGTATCCCGACCATGCAAAGGAGTAGCGTTCAAGCCAGTTGTTTCGATCCACTCCCTCGTGTCTGTTTTGGCTTGTAAAGCACTCTTAGAAGGGTTTTCTCTTATCTGATTAAAGTTGAAATTATTTCCAGATATGCCAAAGTGACCACCAGGGTAGTAGTTTTTGATGTCTTGAGCTGCCTTGAGAATCATAAAAATCTAATAAAGAATTCAAATTTTCCTCACAGTCATTGGAGAAAGAGTTTATAGTTATAGAAGGGATATTGACAAGTCGCCAAACCATCATTGAAAAAGAGCACTGGAACAGAGTATGACTTATGTTCTCTTCTGAGATTTTGCATCTTTGACAGATTCTATTTATTTGTAAACCTCGAGAAATTAGTCGATCTGCTGTCGCCAAAGAACGAGTAACTGCTCGCCATAGGAAAAGTTTGATTTTGGGTAGGATAGGTAATTTCCAAATCCTGTTCTTCAATACAACAGAGCCAGTCGGGGCATCAATGGGAGGCTCGTCGTCAAAAGGATCGTGTGTTGCCAACCAATAGCCCGTTCTCACCGTGTACTCACCTGATTTGTGATAGTGCCAAACCAATTGATCATGTGTCTCCAACCGAGGCAGATAAATATTTTGAACAGCCTCTTGGTCTGTGTGGAGGACTGTTTCATGTATCTTATTCACATTCCAGAAACGAGTTGTTCTTGACTTGGTAATGAGATCACTGATAGTAGAAGTTGATGATTCCGTGTGGAGAGTCACCGGTCTCGGAGGATGATCCGGGACTACGTTGTCAGTTCCAAGTCGGATTGTTTTACCATCGCCGACTATGTAGCGTGTGCCTTTCTTAAGCAATGAGATTCCAGCCAAGATTGACGACCAACCATAAGACTGATAGCGTTTGTTTGAGACATCGAATATGGAATCGTCTTTGAAATAACGTGCTTTCATTACCCGTGAGAGTAGTGAATTCGGATGCCTTATGATTCGCCAAGCTTGTTTGGCAAGCAAAGCGTCATTGAATTTGGCTAGGTCTTTAAAACCGAGTCCACCCTCTTTTTTTGAGATTTGAAGACGCTTCCATGCTATCCATGGTATTCCTTTTGATTGTGCTGTCTTTTCCCACCAAAACCTCATCAAAATAGAATCTATTTCCGCAATTACACCCATAGGTAGTTTGAAACAAGACATTGAGTAAACCGGCATGGCCATCGCCACTGACTTCAGTAAAACCTCTTTTCCAGCAGGGGATAAGAATTTGGCACTCCAATTGCTAGTTCTTTGACGAACGCGTTCAATAATGTATGTGAACATTTCTTTCTTTTTTCTACCAAATTGTTCGGGTAAGCCTAAATATTTCCCCCCACCACCTTGATTAGGAATCCGAAGAAGATTTTTCAACCTTCCTTGTAGGTCACCACGGACTCGTGAGCCAAATGTGATCATTGATTTGGAGACATTAATTTTTTGGCCAGAGTAGTATTCATACACTTCAAACACATCACGAAGAGCTCTACAATTTCGACTGTTCGCTTGGCAAAAGAATAAAGAGTCATCTGCAAACTGAAGATGAGTGATTGGAGGAACACCATTGCCAATTCTAATACCCCTTATGTCTCCTGAAGCAGCCTTTGATTTTATTAAATGACTCATGATATCAGCACATAGAATGAAAAGGTACGGCGATAGCGGGTCTCCTTGACGGATACCACGTTCTGGAATTATTTTACCATATGGTGACCCATTGATTAGAACAGAATAATGGACAGAACGAACTGTAGACATGATCCAACTAATCCAAGTTTCCGAAAAACCAAATAATCTCATTGTGGTCTCCAGGAAGTTCCACTCTACCCTATCGTACGCTTTGCTAACATCGGTTTTAACCGCCATATAGGTTTGGGAGACCCGTTTACGTACCTTTAGAGAATGCATAATCTCGTGGGCAATCATCACATTATCAGTGATTTGTCTGCCAGGAATAAACGCCGCTTGGGAATCAGAGACAATGCGATCCAAGTGTCTTTTAAGCCGGTTAACCAAACATTTAGAAATGATCTTATATAGAACATTATTATATAGAAACTCGCTTTGTCTTGCAACATTATTATGATCGTAGAAAATGGCGATAAAACTTTTATTTTATGGGTAGGTTTTTTTTTTCCCCGAACCATAAAATTTTTTATTAAAAACTTAAAGAACTTTATAAACAAACCGGATGATAGAACCGGTGGTAATCGATCGTCTAGTGGTAAATTGTGGTGATTAGTAATTACTATTTATCACAACTACCTGAAAAAACTAATAAAAAGTTTGGAACTTAGATTATTATTTTATTCTTGATAAATGATTTAAAAAATAAAAATTACTAGGCCTAGCTAGATTCTCGGCTAATCTTATTATATAAAGTAATAGTTTTCAAAGTTAGTAACTCATAGGATTGTGCCACGTGCCAAATTTATCGATTTCAGATTTTGACATGTGTTAAACAAAAATTCTTTTTATTTAGTTAAAAACAAATAAGGAAACTATACGCACATATCAAATTTATCGATTTCAGATTTTAATACGTGTAAAACAAAATTTTAAAAAAATATAAGGAAACTATACGTATATATATCTTATATAAAAAAATTCTAAAAATGTACAGAATATAATTATAACGAAACTAGATGTATCTTATTAAATAAATATAGAAATCTAAGAAAACAATTATAAGGCAACTATACGTATATATCTTATATAAAAAAATTTAGAAAAGTAAAGATGATAATTATAAGGAAACTATATGTATCTTATTAAATAAAAATTGAAATTAAAAATCATTTACTAATCCTAATTTAAAGCTACTAAAAATTGATTTTCAAGGGTTTAAAATTTAAATTTTTAGGTTTGGGTTAATTATTTTAGATTAAAGGTATATTTTTAGGAGGAAGAGTTTAGTATTTAGGGTTTAGTTTTGAATGTTGAAAGATTAATTTTAGTTTTGTCATATTTTTGGAAAAACCAGAAATTAAGTGGAGTTTGGAATATTAAACTAATAATGATAGTTTTGAAAACCAAAACTTCAGTGTGTTATTTTTTTGGATTCTCTTACATTTTTTCATTCAAAATATTATATTCTAGTTAAACAATTTTAATTGTTAATGAAACTATTTAAAAGTGAAAGTAAAGAGACACGAGAAAAAACATATACCTTGCCTTATATGTTCATAGATAAATTTACTTTACTATTATAATAAATGTACCTTGCCTTATATGTTCTTAAAATTTTGGAAACATGAGGCCTCTTTTTGCAAAAACAAATTATTCTTGAGGCCTAATTATAGAACTAAAAATCTTAAAAAATTTAGAGGCCCAATACATTTGTATCTTGGGTATTGGTGGTGGGCCGGGCGTGCCTAATGGTGCCCAAATATGTGAGATTGCTTGTCAAAAAGAAGCATACATTACCGGAGATTGTGGGTCCGATTGGTAACCAATAACTGTACAAGTTTTTTAGCTGTTAGCTGGAGCTGTTAGCTTTACCGGAATAGTGCAAAACTGTAAGAAAGAGCTGTACAAAAAAGCTGTACAAAAAAGCCGGAATAACTTTATGATCAATAAATAAAAATTGATAAATTCAAAAAATTATAAGCACAATGATATATGAATCTTATATAATTCAAATATGAACATAGAAATTGAAATAAACAATTTTGAAATAGTATAATTAAATTCAAAATATCAAAAACAAAAAAGAAGCATATATGTTTCTTACATATTCAAGAATTTCAAATAAAACAATATAAAACTTTACTTAAAATCATCACATATTTCTAATTAGAAAATAATATTGATATAAATAATGTAAATTTTTAATTTAAATCATGACACATGTCGCTATCTTAAAACATTAGAACTATGATATATTATAAATCGTATATAATTTAAACTGAACGTAGAAACCAAAATAAAAAATTTAAAGATACAACAGTTAAACTAAAAATAAAAAAATTATAAACACGATGATATATGAATCTTTGATAATTTAAATATGAAAAGAGAAATTGTAATAAACAATATAACTATACTAAAATCATAATTGAGGACAAACAAAAAAAAACAGTTAAGTAAAAAAATATTACAAAAGGGAAAAAAAATTGATCTCACATATTTCTAATTGAAAAAATAAACTCAAATAAATAATATGAGGATTAGTTTAATTAAATCATCACATATTTCTAATTGGAAAAGAAACTGAGATAAATAATATCAAATTTTAAATTAATATATAATAACATATGTTTCCTTTTTAATAAATTTGCCTGATTTTTTCTTGTTTAATTGAAATATAAAAAACGTATAATTTCCTTATTATTATCTTTTGACATTTTTTAAATTTTTTATAGAAATATGAATTATTTACAATTATTCTTATAATTAATTTTACATTTTTAAAATTATTAAAATTTTTAATTACTTTCAATTATCTTCTTTTTTTTTATTTTAAAAAGAAAATTTTTGTTTTACACTTGTCAAAATCTAAGATCGGTAGATTTGCCATGTGTCACGATCATATGAGTTATTAACTTTGAAAACCATACTTTATATAATAAGATATAAAAACAAACATTCATACTATATTTACAAAATATGAAATCTAACAATAATAATAATGTAATTCAAATTTAAATTTTAAATCCAACTAAAAAATATAAAACCGTAACAAATATTAAAATAGTAAGAGATCGTCAATAACTGAAATAAACTAATAAAACATCGCGAATTCAAAACAACTCATCTCGGTTATTTCTCTCACCATTTCATTCATTTTCCTTAGACGGTACTGTGAAGTTTCATCAAAATCTAAAACAATAAATGAGTCTAAGAACTACAAAAAAAAGTTCTAAAAATAATTGAATAGAGTCTACTATATTTTATTCCAAAATCAAATGATATTTTTAAGACCCATATCCAGCCGGTTCAACAGGTTCATTGGGTTGCGGGTTAATGGTGGATTCTTGGGGGTTTTTCCGGTTTTGAAATTGGCGGGATTAGCACTAAACCCAAACCGAAAAAGTATCCGGGTCGTGGGTTAACCAGTCGGACCGGACGGTCCGGGTCGGTCTTGAAAACGCCATATATGAGAAAAGTCATGTCTTGAATTCTTTTGTATGTCTAACGTCTCAAAGGTCTATCACTTGAAAAAACTTACGTGTCAATGTTACCAACTTTCCATAAGACACAAAAATAAAAAGACAGAGTCATATGATGAGTCATATATGAACAACAAAACGTAATAATGAGAAAGACTCAAGGTAAAATTACTAAACTAATAAGAGTTTAAGTAGCAAACAGCTAAATTACAACAAAAATAAAGTTTTATTCATTATCGAGTGGTACCATTGATTAAAAATTTTTTAAGTAAAATAAGAGTATAATGAAAGTAGTGCTTTTTATTAACATAATTTTGTATTTCTATTTTTTAGTTTTGGGAAAAACACTTAAGAATAGAATTGATGGAGGAATTAATACAACAAATAACTTTTAATTTTTTTTATTTAATTTGGCGTTTTTTAAAATAATGTAGAATGACACATGTCATTTTGTTGTGTGATGTTGTGGCACTCATATGGAGAGAGTTGGCCAACTTTTATATATATGATTAGATTTATTTTTACAAAAATAAATATGAAAACCCATGCAAAACCTAGTAAATAATAGGTATAATTATAATAAATTTGCCATTAACATATAAAATAGAAAATGTAAAACTTATATTAATTATTTAGTAGATACATGACAAATGCTAAAGTAATAATGTGTTACTCATATCGAAAGAGTTGACCAACTTTCATATATATGATTTCACTAAAAAAAAGTATGGTCTTTAATTACAATTTTACATAATCAAAAGAAATTATGCCAATTCAACCCAAAACCGTTTTACATTAGCTAATTCATACCCGGACTAAAAACTTTTGGTCAAAACCTGCATTAACCACGGTAGACAAAGTGTCAATCTTGACGGCCCAACTCGGCCCAATACCTTTCTCCTCCTTTCTCATTCTCTGAAAAATGTATCTCCTCTCTCGCCTCTCTCTACTCCTCTAAAATTCACTTTGCTAGGGTTTTCGATTTTGCGTTCTTGAAAAATCTGGGTAAAACAATTTGCTAGAGATTCGTCGTCACTCTCCGAAGACGCAGCCGTTCTCAGAGTGTTTCGACATTCTGATTCAGCTCGATCAAAAGAAACATAACGATCCCAAGGTTCAGTTTTCTCTTCTTCTTTGGATTCAATAGTTTCGCTTTAAGTTTGGATTTGCCTTTAAAAGTTTACTAGTTTTGATTCGTACATGTTTAGATCTGACTTGTTTAAAGTTTACTTCTTTTTCTATCAGTATTGATTTTGTTTTTGCTTAAGTAGAGATATGATTTTTTAGCTGTGTATGGATCAGATTTATAGAGCAAAGCCTTCATTTTTCAGTGATTGGAATACCTCTGATAGCTTAAACTATGCAGCATTACATCTTTTGACTTCCATGGCTTATGAATTGTTATTTAATTGATTAAGCAGGTTCTACACAATATGGAAATTGCTGAGTACGAAAGGGAGAGCGGCGGGGAGAGCGGGTACGACCCAAATATGGTGCCGGATTCGGTGAAATCGTTTGTGGTACACATGTACAGACACATAAGGGATAAGAACGTGTACGAGATCCACCAGATGTGTGAGACATCGTTCCAGAGCATATCGGAACGTCTGTTCAAGGAGACGCCATGGCCAAGTGTGGAAGCCATAGCTCCATACGTAGACAACGACCATGTGTTCTGTCTTCTGTACCGTGAGATGTGGTTTCGACATTTGTATGCGAGGCTATCTCCTACGTTGAAGCAGAGGATTGATTCTTATGATAACTATTGCAGCCTCTTTCAGGTCTGTTGTGTGTTGATTTGGATTTTGGATGTTTTCAATTCTTTGGATTTGAATTCTTTGAGTTTGAATTGGTAAGTGGCTTCTTCTTCCTCTTCTTTTAGGTGGTGTTGCATGGGGTAGTGAATATGCAGTTGCCGAACCAGTGGTTGTGGGATATGGTGGATGAGTTTGTCTACCAGTTCCAAAGTTTCTGTCAGTTCAGAGCAAAGCTCAAGAACAAAACAGAGGAGGAGATTGCATTGCTCAGACAGCATGATAAGGTCCCTATGATCCTACGATTCGATTCATCAACCAAATGTGTTACTTACTTACTTACCTCTATTGTTGTGTTACTTACCTCCTCAGGCATGGAATGTCTATGGCGTGCTCAACTTCTTGCAAGCACTTGTGGAAAAGTCTTGTATCATCCAAATTCTTGAGCAGGACAAGCATGGACTTGAACAGTTCACTGCCACTGATGGCTACGATTACAGCGGTGGAAGTAACGTCTTGAAGGTCCTCGGTTACTTCAGCATGGTCGGTCTCTTGCGTGTTCACTGCCTCCTCGGTGACTACCACACTGCTCTCAAATGGTTGCAGCCCATTGACATCACTCAGCAAGGTGTTTACACCAGTGTCATTGGATGCCATATCGCTACCATCTATCACTATGGATTTGCCAACCTTATGTTGCGACGCTATCTAGATTCTGTTCGTGAATTCAACAAGATTCTCCTCTACATTTTCAAGACTAAGCAGTACCATCAAAAGTCACCTCAGTACGAGCAATTACTCAAGAAGAATGAGCAGATGTATGCATTACTTGCTCTTTGCCTCTCCCTCTGCCCTCAACCTAATCTCGTTGACGACTCTGTCAGCTCTCAGTTGCAAGACAAGTATGGTGAAAAGATGATGAGGATGCTGAGGTATGACGATGAGGCCTTTGGTATTTACGATGAGCTCTTCTCTTATGCATGCCCCAAGTTTATCACCCCTTCCCCACCATGTTTAGAGGAACCTCTTGTCAATTACAATCAGGTTACTACTCCAGTTTCTTTATAAAACAAAATTTACGAGGACTCTTTGTGTGTTTAACTTTCCCAGCTTGGATTATCTCAGGATGCATACAGGCTTCAGTTGAAGATGTTCCTTTATGAGGTAAAGCAGCAGCAGCTCTTGTCGGGAGTGCGGACATTCCTAAAAGTCTACTCCTCCATTTCTCTTGCTAAGCTCGCAAACTACATGGAAGTTGATGAGCCCACTCTAAGGTTAGGGAGCAACCATGGCCAGATAGATGGCTTTTACCAAAAGTCTCTCCGCAATCTACTTTTTTTTTTTTTATATCTTTGACATGTACGGGGTTTTAATTTGCAGGACCATATTGTTAACATACAAGCACAAGACCCATGCAGTTGATTCCGATGGTAGGATCATCTCCAATGCAGACATTGATTTCTACATCAACAATGTATGTTCTTTCCATATCTTTCTGATATCGATATTCTGGTTCTTTCAAAAGTAACTTTAAATCTGGTGAGACTGCAGGACATGATCTATGTTGTGGAATCAAAACCCGCAAAACGTTATGGTGATTTCTTCTTGCGACAGATTGCCAAGGTATGTAAACTGAAACTAAGACTTGTGCACATGCATGATAAGATTCCTGACTGTTATTTTGATTTTTTTCCATTGCGCAGCTGGAAGGTGTGATAAACGACATGGATCGTGTCAAACTGGAATGAGGACTTTTCTGTGTTACACCTATCATCAATGCCCAATCTGATATGCTCTCTCTTATAAAACCTAAATTTACTTGGAGCCAAACACTTTTGCGAAACTATCTTCATGTGGTCAAATGGTGTAGCTCGACTCTTTTCTTGTGTAACTGTAATCATCTTTGTTATGAATTATTGCCAGTTTTTTTTTTGATTGAGTATGGCATTTCAGATTATAGCCGATCTCGAGTTCCTTTGGAATTATTTGTCCAGATTTGATATGCCAACTATGAGTTTAATAGTATTAAGTAATACCACTATATCTGGTTAATGTAAAAAGATAAATTTTAAAAACATTGGAAGTGTTCAAGGTTCTGAAAATTTAAGTCGCCACTACTGCCTACTTTGACAACAGAATGGTATTAAATTCAAAGTAGCATCAATTGCTTCTTGACTTTTATGTACACTAGTAACAACAGGTTTGTTCTTCGTTCTTGGTGATTTACAGATTCCAGAAGAGTAAATTCTTTTTCTTCTTCATCGAAAGATATGCGTTTACATCGTTCCTTTGCTGGATTGCTCGTTTCTCTTATTTTTCATATTGGTTCACCTTCAAGTCATACAAATACGTTGTTTTCTTTTGAATCATTGTGGCCACAAAGCAACCGTACGCTTGTGTCTCCGGGGGATGTCTTCGAGCTTGGTTTTTTCAGTCGTGGTACATCGGCAATTGGTATAAGAACATAGCTAAACACACGTATGTTTGGGTTGCAAACCGAGAAAAAAGTGTTTGTTCTATATATTTTGATCAAATATAACGATTAATGATATCTACGCTATACATGGGTTTGTTCTAATATTTTGGTGAAATATATCGATTAGTGATAGTTGTCAAAATATTATTTTTAAGTTTTAGTTTTATCAATTAAGTGTCTCTAGAATTTTAGATGGTATTCATATACATATAATGTTCATTATCATCTTAACAATTTTTAGTGATTTGCAATCATATCAAAGTGCTATTATATCTCTTAAAGAAAATCTTTTAATTAGTCAACACAATATTTATAGATATAGATACCGAAACGTAATTGGTTCTTCTTTTCCATGCACATAATTCACCTAAAATTTTTCAAAATATTCATAATAATAAGGGAGACTCACAAAAATGCCCCTTTTTCAATACCCCTTTTATGTACAAAATGACTAAATTACCTTTCTTTTAATAAAAGATATCACAAATATATAAGGAAAACATGAGAATGTGCACACATCAAAATTACAAATTTGATTTTGTAAAAACTTGTAAAACCTTTAAAATACCTTGTAAAATTTTCCCGTAAAAATTTTTTCCGCCAAAAATTTTTTTTTGCGGGAAAAGTGATTCCGCAATTTTTTTGGCGTTAACTTTTTGGCGGGAAAAATTTACAAGGTATTTTAAAGGTTTTTTACAGGGTATTTATAAGGTTTTACAATGTATTTTAAAAGGTTTTACAACGTATTTATAAGGTATTTATAAGATATTATAAGATTTTACAAGCTATTTTATAAGGTTTTACAAGTTTTTTATAAGGTTTTACAAGTTATAAATACCTTATAAAATCTTATAAGTACCTTGTAAAACCTTTTAAAATACATTGTAAAACCTTACAAAACACTTGTAAATACTCTGTAAAACATTTAAAATACCTTGTAAATTTTTTCCGCCAAAAAAATTGCGGAATCACTTTTCCTGAAAAAAAAAATTTTGGTGGGAAAATTGCGTGATCACGTTTCCCGCCAAAAATTTGCGGGATCACTTTTCCCGCCAAAAAATATTTTATATTTTGTGGACCTAATTTTGTTTCAAATAAGGGTAAAATGGTCATTAAAAATTAAAAGAGGGCAAACTTAAAAATGGACTCTCAAAGAGGGCATTTTTGAAAAGGGGTATTGAAAAAGGGGCATTTTTAACAATTTCTCTAATAATTAAGAACAAATATGTTTTTGAGTTTTTTTTGCCTAAAACATAAAATTTGGACTATGTGTGTATGCCATTTTATCATTGATTTGGTTTTATATTTTACCAATTAATTATCTTACTCATCTGTACTATATCTATTTTTTTTTTTATCTAAGTATGTAAATTTGTCTTAAATATTTTCGTGATTAAATTCATTCAATATTCTAATACAATTTATTACATCTACTTTCTTTTCACTAAATTATGTAAATTCATTCCAAAGATTTTAGTGCCTAAACTCATTCAATATTCTAATACAAAACCATAAACATGAAAATAATCGATCGACAATAAAAGTTTTATATAAAACTCTTTAAACAATAATATATATCCAACTGAAAATTTTCTTACATGGAAATAATAATCAAATGGGCTTATATCTTTACAAATATATGTAAAGATATTTTAGTGAGACTAAATTGGATTATTTTTATATATTCCAACAACAAAATTTTTATTTCGATATTTTCCATATTTTTAAATATTTTCGTTTTTAAATTTAATAATTTTTTTAAAAGAGAAAATTTACATATTAATTATTTCTATTTTATGTATTTTCATGAAAAAATATTTAGAAAAGTTCCATATTTTCAAATATTTATTTTTATTTTCAAATGTTGCCTTTTCCCATTTTACAAAAATCTAAAATATACAAAATTAATAGAATCTAAATAAAAGTTAATTAATGAGATGGCTATTCGCGATTGGTGGTTTAAAATCCCACGTGGACAGGCTCGGAAGCTTATATTAATATTTTAGTTATTGATGATTATGTATAGTTGGGAATTAAATCACTACCTTATAACTTACAATTAACAAATTTTTAATGTAATATTAAGTTAATATTTGTTTCTTATATAAATTATTTCATAATTTTCTGATTTTCTAAACTTTTTCATATTAATTAACTATACTATTTTTGAATTAAGAAAGTTTCCTAATTTATTTGGAAGCTAACGTTATGAGACTAATAATTATATTTTCTTTTTATATTATATTACAATAATTAAATTTTACATTTTCTAACTTATCTATATCGTGTTTCAAAAGTTTACATTTCTATTATATTAGTCTATACAATAATCGAGTATCATCAATATAGTTATGATTCTTGAATGAGAGTCCAATACTATAAATTGAATCGAGAGCATATATAGAACCATAGAAAAAGATTTACATAAAAAAAAACTATGGTCTTGCACAAATCCTTTATACAAAATTTAGTAACCTTTTCAGTCCCCCTCACCCTTCATCTTTAACGTGGAAACTTGAAACGACACAATTGATAGACATGACTTCTCACAAACCACTCTATAACACACTCCTCGTCAAACTCGTGTCCACATGGTAAAGTCACGATACTTGTTCGGTTGTTCCATCGTCAAACTCTTTCTAACAAATAGTGCACATGTCATTCTCACCGACGACATAACTATTTGATGATCAAAGCCAAAGCTAACATCGTGCTTAACCAATGAGTGCGGCAACCCGTAGAATGGAACAACTTCTCCAAGCTTTTGTTTCAAACAAAACAAACTTCTCTAAGCTGAGATTGAGCTCCTTTATCATAGATAAAGTTAAGCTCGTGCTCATCCTCAAAGTCAAAACCTAGATTCTCTTCTTCAAAGGTCTCATTGAGCGAGACTCGAAAGATCTCTACAAATTGAGGTCGAGCTGCTTCTTCGGTTTGATGATCAGAGTCAAAAATGACATCTCGCTCATCCTCTAAACCTAGATCCTCTTCTTTGAGCTTTTTTTTTTGTTTTTTTTTGCAAGAATATAAAGTACAATATTTTTGTGTTCCATTCTAAATTCTAACTCTTTTTTTTTGTTAAGTAGAATTTTTCCTTTTCATTATTAAATTTTTTCTTTTTATTTAAACCCAAATATTTCTATATGTTGTTTTTCAAATATTTGACATTTTTCTCTTCTTTACATATATATATATATATATATTGTTTTTTTTCCTTTTCATAAATATCTTAATATATAATATCTTATAATTTAAAAATGTTAAATAATGTGATGACTAAAAATGTTAATTAGCGAGATGTGCAACCGCGATTGGTCGTTTAAAATCCTACGTGGACGGCCTCATAAGCTTATAGCCTCGACTTTTATATAGTATAGATTTTAGTGGAACATAAGATAAAAAGTGTTTAAGGATTTGCAAAAGAAAATTTGTTTTTACTAGAAAACCAAATAGAGTTAGACAAGTCTCTTAGAAAGAAAAATTGGTATAAAATAAAGATATATGGTATATTATTATTTAAAACTTTGAAACAACATACATAGATATCAAATGAACTTATCTTTAATTACAATATTTTTCTGTATATTAATCTAACAGCAAATTATTAACTCATACCTTTAGTTTATAAAATTCAAAACAAACAAAAAAACCTTAGTTATGATGCATGTTTCATCCAGTTACGTACATGTCCCGACGGTTTTGAACGATCTCTTGTAAACCAAATTCCATCAGGTTTAGCAGTCCATGAGCGATACTGATCACATCGTTCAGTACCAGCTGCTCTGTATACTTGAAGATTAAAATAAAACTCCATTTTAGGACCGTGCCTCAACATACAAGTCCACACTGTCCTTTCTCTTCTGTTGGAAACATCCGAAAACTCAATGGTGAAATTTTTGATTGACTTTTAAATATTGGAGACCTTTATCTTGCTCGTTAATACTACCACGACAACGATGACTGAGAAGTTTACCGGGAGCGAGTTGGTTATGAATTTCTACAATATTTGGTTTGTTGCAAACTTCATTCAACGAAAAATGTATGGCATTAATAACTAACGCAAAAATTATGAGGTGATTCATTTTTCTATTTTTCTTAGATCTAAGATAACTGTTTTGACTTTTGAGTAATGAGGCCATGAGTGTGCGATATTTATAATTATTTTGTGTAGAAAACATTATACCTTTAATTTTCAAATAATATATTTGTGGCCTTAGCTAAATTTAAACACTAGCATGAACCAATAAAACTTTTGGCCGAAAGTGAGTTTACTCTCAAAAGGTATGGTTGACCGATAAAATCAAACCAAATAAATTTAGCTAAATTTAGCTAAAGTTTTATCAATACACATATGTAATAGTTTTATCAATAAATTTAGTTTACTCTCAAAAGGTATTACTTGTGTGTCCAAAAAAGAAAACAAAAAAAACAAAAACCAAAAAAAAAGTGATTACTTAATCATTATCATAATGAAAAACATCAAGAGGGTTTATAGTCCATAGATCAACTGTACTCCACAAAAAAAGAGTGATTACTTATATCAAAATTAAATCTAGTTGATGAAGCTAGGTTGGAATATAAGGACAACAATAGACACAAAATCTGGTATTTCCCAAATCTAACAATCCTATCATATCTGCAATAGTTTATGATAACAATTTTTGGACATATATCTACTTATCTACTTTACAGGACAATGAAGAATGGGATCAGATTAGGTTCTTCCTAATCCTTGCTTAACTTTTTGGCTAGATCAGAGTGTCTTTTCCTGATCTATGTGGTTTGTAGAAGCCTTTGAGACCTTAACTAGAAGTTCTAAATGATGGATTATCTTTCTTCGTTTGATAATCTTTTTGTTGTAATATTTTGTAGTAACTCTAGTTTGTTTGTGGTTAATTCCACTGTTGTAATCGTTTGAACTGGTTCCCTTGTTATATAATAATCACTTTTTCAGAAAAAGTAAAAATTAAAAAAAACTCCAAAATCTTCTAAATTCTAAACCAAATAGTAGTAGTTGTTAATTCTTTTCTATGACGTTGACCTTTTTTCAACAAAACACGTTTTGTCTGTCTCTGTTCGGTTCTCTCTCTTTTTCTAATAAATACTACAGTATTAAATATAAAGATGTCTCTGAACTCTGAAGTCGTGCATTCTTATCTCACACGTTCCAAGGTAAAGAAAGGATCGTTGACAAGAACTAAAGATCTCCGAGAAGATAATGGAAGATCCACTTTTATTGGAAGACGATCAGATAATCACCGGAAGTCTTAAGCCGACGCCGACATGGAGAATGAATTTCACGGCGGAGCTAAAGAACGTCAGCCGCATGGCGTTGCCTATGGCCACCGTGACCGTTGCTCAATATCTATTGCCCGTTATCTCAGTCATGGTCGCCGGCCACCGCAGCGAACTCCAGCTCTCCGGCGTCGCTCTTGCCACTTCTTTTGCAAACGTCTCTGGCTTCAGCCTCATGGTAATTAGTTTATCTATCCTCTGTTTTAATTAGTTTCAAGATTCATTCGAATCTCAGAGTCTTGAAAACTTTTGCAGTTTGGTTTAGTGGGTGCACTTGAAACTCTATGTGGCCAAGCTTATGGAGCAAAACAATACGCGAAAATCGGAACTTACACTTACTCTGCAATAGTCTCAAACATACCTATAGTTGTTCTCATATCGATTCTCTGGTTTTATATGGACAAACTCTTGATTTCAATCGGACAAGATCCTGACATCTCCAAGGTAGCTGGTTCCTACGCGGTTTGTCTTATACCTGCATTGTTAGCTCAAGCGGTGCAACAACCTTTGAATCGGTTTCTCCAGACTCAGGGCTTGGTTCTTCCTCTTCTCTACTGTGCCATCACCACACTTTTGTTCCATATATTCGTTTGTTTGGTTCTGGTTTACGCGTTTGGTCTTGGAAGCAATGGAGCCGCATTGGCTATTGGTTTGTCTTACTGGTTTAATGTCTTGATTCTTGCTTTATATGTGAGATTTTCAAGCGCTTGCGAAAAGACTCGGGGCTTTGTATCCGATGATTTCGTGTTGAGTGTCAAGCAGTTTTTTCAGTATGGGATACCATCAGCAGCAATGACTACGTAAATATATTCATCTTCATCATCGTTGGTGGATTCTTTTCTTTCCTTGCTTGATTTGTTTGTTGTTTCTATATGCAGCATTGAATGGTCGTTGTTTGAGCTCCTTATATTATCCTCAGGACTCCTCCCAAACCCGAAACTCGAGACCTCTGTTCTTTCCATTTGGTAATCTATGTTTCTCTCTGGATATATATCTCCCTTTTTTTACATATCTAGGACTTTTCTTAAATATATAGGTCTAATGAGTATATGTTGGTTAAGTAAACTATATACAGTTTGTCGAATTCGTATAAACAAATTTTTACTCTTCATTTCATTATATAATTTGATGCAATCTTTCTGGTGGTTGTTGTTGTGTTGATGATAGTCTTACAACATCATCTCTCCACTATGTCATTCCAATGGGTATCGGGGCGGCTGGAAGGTATGATTCAGATAAAACTGATTCAATGTTTGTTTGGGAATTGTCAGATTAGTCAAACTGTTTACCCTTGGCAGCGTACGGGTTTCAAACGAATTGGGAGCGGGGAATCCGGAGGTTGCAAGGCTGGCAGTGCTTACCGGTATTTTCCTTTGGTTCCTAGAGGCTACCATTTGTAGCACACTTCTCTTCATTTGCAGAAATATCTTCGGGTATGCCTTCAGCAACAGCAAAGAAGTTGTGGACTATGTCACAGAGCTATCTCCTTTGCTTTGTATCTCATTTATGGTTGATGGATTTTCGGCAGTGCTTGGTGGTAATAAAATCAAACCCATCAAGTAGCAAATCAAATAAAAGAATCGATCTACTCGACTCAAAATGCGTTTTTTAATGAGATTTTTTTAAAAAATAGGGGTTGCTAGGGGAAGTGGATGGCAACATATTGGAGCTTGGGCAAATGTGGTGGCTTACTATCTCCTAGGAGCTCCGGTTGGACTTTTCTTAGGATTTTGGTGTCACATGAACGGTAAAGGGCTATGGATCGGTGTAGTGGTTGGGTCTACGGCGCAAGGAATCATACTAGCTATAGTCACTGCTTGCATGAGTTGGAACGAGCAGGTTAATATCAATCTTATAAATTTGTTTGGACATTTGATGACTCTTTTGTTTTCTGTTCTAAAGTTGTTTACATCTTGAAATTACAGGCTGCCAAGGCAAGAAAGAGAATAGTTGTACGAACTTCTTCATTTGGCAATGGACTAGCTTAAAAGGTTCTTTATTTCCATTTTTGAGACAAGTCACAGGAGATTTTGTTTTCTTCAATGTTGTTATAATCATCGTTAGAGAATTTTAAACTTAACTGGTATCTTGTATGATTGTATCCGTTTTCCCTATCTAAAGATTAAGGGTCTGATTTGAAAGTCATGTTAGAGTAATTTTAAGAGAGAGATAAAAGTGGTTCTTAGTTCAATTACTCTGTTTTTCTTTCAATCAAGTGAAAAAGAGAACAAAAAATAATTACAGATTTTTCCTAAAATGTTGTCTTATACTTGTGTGTAGAGTAAATTTTTCTTCCTCTTTCACGTAGAAAAACAAATCTATTATATTATATATAATAGCAATCTCAATAAATGATTTTTGCACATCTGAACGGTTGCGAACGGTTGCGTCTTTTTATCGCAACCTTTCGTTTAAATATTTACGGTTATTTTTTTGTGGTTGTGTATTTTTATTGCATCTCTTCGTTGAAATATTTACGGGTATTCTTTTACGGTTGTATCTTTTTATCGCATCTCTTTGTTAACATATTTACGTTTTTTTACAATTATATTTGTTCAATTACAGTCGTATCATTTCAGTTTACGGTTGTGTCTTCATAGTTGCATCTATTTTTTTAAAATTACGTCTCACATTATATAGATTTAAATTTTGGTTTTTAACTAAAATATATATTTTACAATTGTTTTTTTCAAATTGCAGTCTGAATAAATATTTTTACGCTTGCATTTATTTATCGTAACATCTCATAAACAATTGCGATTGTTTAGTTGAACCATTGCAACATTTACTTTATTTAACGAATAATTGTAATTTTTGATTTATTTTATAAATCGTTAAAACATATAATTTTTTTTGAACTATGTAAAACTATATTTTACGGAATTTTTTAGAAAGTTGCGATCCAAATAAATATTTTCTACGGTTGTGTTTTTTATCGTAACTTTTCGTAAACGGTTGCAACCGTTTAGTTAAACCATTGCAACATTTAATTTATTTCACGAACAAATGCAACCCTTGGTTTATTTTATTAACTGTTATAGTTACTAAAATGTATTTAAATTATTGAACCGTTTAATTGACTGTTATAGTTACTAAAATGTATTTTATTAACTGTTATAACCGTTTAATTAAATGTATTTAAATTATTGTAACTGTTTAATTGAACCGTTGTAACATTTGGTTTATCTGACAAATTATTGTAACTTTTGGTTTTGTTTTATGAACCGTTGTAATCTTTAGTTTATTTGAAGAACCGTTGCAACATTTGGTATATTTGACAAACGATTGCAACTTTTACTATAGATGATATATACGGTCGCGTCTTTTGGTAATAGTTCTTCATCAAATTTTTATTTTTAATTACTATTTAAATGAATATGTTGGTACCGTTTAATAGAACATAGTAACATTTGGTTTATTTGACGAACCAATAAACATTTTGGTTTATCTGATGAACTGTTGTAAGTTTTGGTTTATTTGATAAAATAAGTTACAATATTTGATATATTTGATGAAACATTGCAACTTTAGTTTATTTGATGAATTATTACCACTTTAGATATATTTGATGAACCGTTGCAACATTGCCTTTTATAATACATTTTTGAGAGCATTAACTAAAACTTTTTTTTTTGTGAACAAAACATTAATTAAAGTTATATCTGTTCATTTAGAGTATTATCTTGTCACCATATTTTTTCGTGTTTTTCATCACAAACACTTGGTTCCATTAATTGTGTCTTTTACAAACAATTTTTTATATTTAAACTTTCATGTCTTTTCAACTCTATATATATATTTTAAAAAGAAAAAGTGGTGTAAATTAATTATTTCTTTTTGTTTGATATTTTTCATAGAAAGTTACATTTTTTGCTATTTAGCATTTATGTATATACTTTGTTATCTAGATCATTATTATTTATTTGTAAATAATTATCTATTTTGGTTATTTGTTAAATTTTTCAAAGATTGCCTCTTTTTTTTTTAACATAATACAATTTAAAAGATTGCGTTTTTTATCGTAATATTTTGATGAATATATTTATATAGTTATATTTAAAATTAAAAAATTGCATCTACTTACTAGAACTTTTTGATTAATATTTTTTATTTATGATCACATTTTTTTACCATAATATTTTCTAATAATAATACAAATCTTAAAAACTGTTTTTGAGGGTTTACGTCTCTTTATCATATTTTTTGTAAAATATATCTTTATTTATTGTTAAAAATAAATTGTTTTGAAACTTGTTTTCTCAATTTACTATGATATTTCGTTTGATATTTATTTTACTCTCGCTTACTTTAACATTTTTTTGCCTTTCCTTCTAATTACTATACATTTACTGACTCTTTTATTCTCAAAATTTACCAAGAAGAGCCTAGAAGTTTTTTCGACCAAAAAAAAAAAGCCAAATTTCACATCATTTCAAAAATTCAGTGACTAAACTAAGAGCACCTCCAATGGTGAAAGCTATCCATAGACTTTTTCCAATTATTTAATATAAATTTGATTCAATTTTTCGACTACGACTTCCACGGTTTGTATTTTAAATTGATGATATCATATTTTAAAAATGGGATATAGTTTTCCAAATTGTCTTTGTTTATGGCAAGGCTAAATAATAGTGTTGTGATAAACATAATTTTTTTAATATATATAGTTATATTCTACAATATATTTCTCTATTTACAGAATATAACAATATATAATGTATAAAGAAAATTAATGTCCTTGATTACAAGGTACAAAAATAATTCCTCTTTGTACAAAATTAAATGAAAAAAGTCATCTAAAATACTCAAAAATCTTTTACGTTGTCAAATAAAAAAACTCAAAAATCAACAATGAATTGGCCTAGTGGTTAAGCCCCTTGGTTACCGATAATGTAGGGACCTTGGAGGTCACGGGTTCGATTCACGTTGGGAGGGGTCTGCTCTCCAAAAGAGAGTTATATTACATGGTTTGAGCCTCGTCCTGGGGGATGTACGGGTTCAGAACCTCCTAGTCATCAAAAAAAAAAAAAAACTCAAAAATTTTCTTGATCACATAATAAAATGATTTCTCTATACTCCCTCAGTTATTTTTCTTTGATGTTCGGGAAGAATGCACATAGAAAAAAAAATTATTTAGTTTTTGTTTAATTATAAACTAAAACAACATTTATTATTTACCTATATATGATTCAACCAATTTAAAAATAATCAGCAGAATATAAATCGTAAAAGCCAATAAAAATTAATTAATTTTGTATTGAAAGTTAAGAACATCATGTAATTTAAAACAAAATTTTCCTCCTAAAACATTTAAAAAAAAACATGAGTATTTAATTAGAAAATTGTTAACTGTCATTTCCACAAAGTACTCTAAACAAAGGGTTTCATGAAGAAAAAAAAATTCTTCTACTCGCCTATTTTTGCAACTACCCTCTATCTCTGAAAATGCAGATTAATCTTACGAAGTCCAAAATAATACGCAATAAAACGTTTACAATATACGTGTAAAAGTTTTATTCTATATTATTTTAGATTTCGTAGGATTAATCTGCATTTTTAGAAGATAAAATCTAAAGTTGTAAAAATGGGCGAGTTGGAAAATTTTTTGCACAAAACTCCTAAACAAAAGCTACAGATACATCAATTAAATATACAAATAAAAAAAAAAAGAGAGAAAGAATGAGAAGGAAGCGATGAAAAAAGAGAAGAGATAGTTCTACGTAGGCAACCAATTAAGAACTAGAAGTCAACGGTCAGACTACCGAACCAACGCGTTATTGAGAAGGAAGATGTCGCTAATGGAGGAAGGAAGGAAACAGTGATTAGAGAAGAGGAATAGAGGAAGAAGCACTCGCAAAGCAGACCCACGGAGACTCTAGCGTCACCGGAGATGACGGGCCGAACGTCGGAAATTTAAAGAACCTCCAGAGAATGAAAACCTCCGGAGACTAGCGTCGCCGACGCTGAAATTGACGGCAGATTCTCCAAAGAAGGAGAACCGGCGTTTATGGCTATTCTCCTCTAATCGGCGGTGGCGAGATATGCGACGGAGAAGTGGAGTTCGATTTGTGAGAAGTCTTGACTTTTTTTTTCTTTGTATCGTAGGCTGTAAAAAAAATTTGAATTCGAGAGATTAGGTAGAAAGAAGACAAATGTATTCTTATGTTTTCTTTATTTATTTAATTTTAATTTAATTTTATATGTTTATAGATTTTTATTTTGGTAGAAATGAAAAAAAAATGGGTTTTTGGTTTTTTACACCAAATTTGTGTTATTCTAGTTAGCCACAAATATTGGGTGTTAATCTAGTAATTAGTTTCAAAATTTGTATCAAACTGGGTAATTTTTAGTAATGATTATTATTTTATTATTAATAGTTCCAAACATATCGTGATTTAGACGAAAGAAGTTTGGACCACTTTACCTTGAGTTCCATTTCACATTTTCACTAGAAACAGAATCATGACATTTCTGGTATGTGAGCGGAGCTATGGCCCAGGATTTAACCCTCTGTAATTGATAGACAAAAATTAAACTATACTACATTACTTTTAAAATTGATACTCCACTTGATGATGTTTCATGCTACGTGGAAGATAAGTGTTACATTATTAAATAAAGTTTAAGTCGTGATTACATAATATTTTAGAATTTAGACTTATATGAATTTATACTAGTATTTTTGCAATCACTTTGGTGATGGAAAAAAATGCTTCCGGGTTATTTGGATATTCGATCCGTTTCAAAAAATCTTTCACAAAAAAATTTGTTGGATCGGGTTGTATTTAACCCAACTCATACACCGGATATTCCATATTTAATAATTTAGATATTTAGAAGATTTGATTAAGATTTATAATTATGACCTATCATCTTTGTTTGATTTGTTTTTAACTATTTTGAATCATCATATAATACATAAAGTAAAAAAAAAAATCAATTTTTTTCTGCATATACTGTGATTCGAAATTTTAAAAACGGACATATATTATCCAATTGACGAAAATATGTGTTCAACGTTCTACATCGATTAAAATATTTAGACAATAATTCAGAATCATATCATAAATAAGAACATTAATAAAATAAATGAGTTTTTTGGCCAGACGGGTTTGGCGGGACGGGTTTTTGAATCAACAATAATAAAAGATTAAAATATCATTAATCCGCCGCTTCAATACGGATTAAATCCTTATTTTTTTAATACCACAAATATTAGACATATTAAATCAGTCTCATTTAGAAAAGATTGTATAAAACCAAAAATTGTCCTGTGGTATAATGTTACTTAATAACAATATTTATAAAATTTTAAAATATAATTAACATGTCGCTTTAATACATATTAAATCTTTAGTTTATTAAAATATAAATGTCTTAGAGAATGATAAGATTTGTAAACTTTTATATATAATAAATAATCATTAAATTTTGATGGCGGAACGGGTTATATTTCGGAAATGATTTATATGGCGGACGAATTTGAATCAATATTTATATACCGTTTTAATACGGGTTAAATCCTCAGTTTATTAATAATTGTCTCGTGGACTCGTGGTATTCCGTTACATATAACAATTGTAAACTATAATATAAATAAATATGTTATAAGGAGATATAATTTACAAAATATTTTTATACTAAATTTAAAAGTAAATCATCCCGCGGTGCATCGCGGGTTAAAATCTAGTCCATAAGTACATAAGTAAGAATGTGATAACATATAGTATTATTGATTGTATTGTATAGTAAGATTGATATATGTCTCCTCTCTGAAGTCGTGCGTTCTTCATGTCTGTTCTCTATCACAAGTTCCAAGGAAGATAATGGAAGATCCACTTTTATTGGGAGATGATCAGTTAATCACTAGAAACCTAAAGTCAACGCCGACATGGAGGATGGATTTTACGGCGGAGCTGAAGAACGTCAGCCGCATGGCAGCGTCTATGGCCACAGTGACCGTGGCTCAATATCTATTGCCCGTTATCTCGGTCATGGTCGCCGGCCACCGCGGTGAACTCCAGCTGTCTGGTGTCGCTCTTGCCACTGCTTTCGCTAACGTCTCAGGCTTCGGCATCATGGTAATTAGTTTATCCTCTGTTTAAACCAAGTTCAAGATCAAAACGAAACTTAGTCTTGAAAACTTTTGCAGTATGGTTTAGTGGGTGCACTTGAAACTCTATGTGGCCAAGCTTATGGAGCAAAACAATACGATAAAATAGGAACTTACACTTACTCTGCAATAGTCTCAAACGTACCCATTTGTCTTCTCATATCTATCCTCTGGTTTTACATGGACAAACTCTTGATTTCAATCGGACAAGACCCTGACATCTCCAAGGTAGCTGGTTCCTATGCGGTTTGTCTTATACCGGCATTGTTAGCTCAAGCGGTGCAACAACCTTTGACTCGGTTTCTCCAGACTCAGGGTTTGGTTCTTCCTCTTCTCTACTGTGCCATAACTACCCTTTTGTTCCATATACCCGTTTGTTTGACTCTGGTTTACGCGTTTGGTCTTGGAAGCAATGGAGCCGCCTTGGCTATTGGTTTCTCTTACTGGTTTAATGTCTTAATTCTTGCTTTATATGTGAGATTTTCAAGATCTTGCGAGAAGACTCGCGGCTTTGTATCCGATGATTTCGTGTTGAGCGTCAAGCAGTTTTTTCAGTATGGGATACCATCAGCAGCAATGACTACGTAAAAACATTTTATCTTCTTCATCACTTTTGGATTAGTCTCTTCCTTCCTCTCGCTTGATTTTTTTGTTGTTTCTATATGCAGCATCGAATGGTCGTTGTTTGAGCTCCTTATATTGTCCTCAGGACTCCTCCCAAACCCGAAACTCGAGACCTCTGTTCTTTCCATTTGGTAATCTAATCTGTCTCTTCCTTCTTACATGTCTAGTATCAGGAGGACATATCTTAAATACATCGGTGTAATGAGTAAATGTTGGTTAAGTAAACTAGATACAGTTTGTCGATTTCATATAAACAAATTTTTACTCTTCATGTCATTATCTAATATAGTGATGCAATCCTTTTGGTTGTTGTTGTTGTGTTCATGATAGTCTTACAACATCATCTCTCCACTGTGTCATTCCAATGGGTATCGGGGCTGCTGGAAGGTATGATTCCGATAAAACCGACCAATGTTTGTTTGGGAATTTTCAGATTAGTCACTCTGTTTACTTTGGCAGCACACGGATTTCAAACGAATTGGGAGCGGGGAATCCCGAGGTTGCTAGGCTGGCAGTGTTCGCCGGTATTTTCCTGTGGTTCCTAGAGGCTACCATTTGTAGCACACTTCTCTTCACGTGCAAAAATATCTTCGGGTATGCCTTCAGCAATAGCAAAGAAGTTGTGGACTATGTCACGGAGCTATCTTCTCTGCTTTGTCTCTCATTTATGGTTGATGGATTTTCTTCAGTGCTTGATGGTATTAAGATCAAACTCTTCAATTAGTAAATGATAAAAGAATCGATCTCGCGACTCAAAATGTGTTTATTATGACTTTTATGAAAAAGGGGTTGCTAGGGGAAGTGGGTGGCAAAATATTGGCGCTTGGGCAAATGTGGTGGCTTACTATCTCCTAGGAGCTCCGGTTGGACTTTTCTTAGGATTTTGGTGTCACATGAACGGTAAAGGGCTATGGATTGGTGTGGTCGTTGGGTCTATGGCTCAAGGCATCATACTAGCTATAGTTACTGCTTGCATGAGTTGGGAGGAGCAGGTTAATATCAATTTTAATTATATATATATTTGGGATATTTGATGACTCTTTTTTCGTACTGAAGTTGTTTACATCTGGAAATTGCAGGCTGCCAAGGCAAGAATACGGATAGTTGGAAGAACATAGGAGTGAAAATCACACATTTTTAAACTTAACTGGTACTAAGAATACAAATAAATAAGTGCGCGTTTAAGGTTTTGACACACGTATTAAGAATACAAATAAATTTTATGTCTTGATATTTTTTAATATATTTGTAAAAAATATTTATTGATCAATACATTAAATCAGTGGAGATAAAACTGTAATTTTATCAAAATTTTGCATTGAAAATATAAAACAGCACTCATTTTAAAATAAAGTATAGGTTTTAAAACGTATCCGTTTTATGTTTATAATAATTAAATATCTATGTAGAAGTTTAACATCAAGTTACAAAATTTAGTGACTAAAAATTTAGTAAAAATTTGTCAACTACGACTTTCCACAGTTGATTTCTCATATGGCTAAGATAATTTCTGAGTATTTTAGATTATTTTACTTTTTTTCCATTTAACAGTTACAGGACGATTGAATGTTCTTTTAACAAGGTCTGATTTGAACGGATAGGACAAGGAGCAATTAATTTTGTACATTGTATCTAGGACATTAATTTTGTTTATACAACAATGTGTTTCTCTATATACAGAATATAACTAATATATATAGTAAATTGTTTATGTTAATCCCAGTTAAAAAAAAAAAAAAAAAAAAAGGAGAGGAGATGGTGCTATACAAAGGGACCAAGAAAGAACTGGAAGTCAACAATCAACTCATACTCATGTGTCTGTCCTTTTTAATGAGACTGACTAACCAACGATTAAGGAAAAAAGAAGTAGTTCATGCACGTGTGGCTCAAACGTAAATAATGGTGGACTTCACGTGAAGGAGACAAAAAGTTCAATCTCATGGTCATGGAGAAACATAATTTCATTGAAGAAAAAAATCTGATGAATATCCCTAACTTATAGAATGACGACCTAAGTGCACTTAATCAGCTTTGTAAACAATTTTTACTTGTGTTCTTGCAAACTTTACGAGAAAACCATGATATCGTTGAGAATAATGCTAGCAAATTGCTGTTGTTTGACTGTTTATTCTGTAGTTTTTGTTTTTTTTCGCTACTTGTATTCATTATAGCTTCTGTCACAAATTTCGAAAATGGTATAAAATCTTCAAATTTTAGAATTAAAAAAAAAATGCTAGCAAATCGTCTAAAAGTTTCTAGAATACATAGTTCATAGATTTCATGAATATGGTTGAAGCATTTGTCAGCACAAATGACATGTCCATGAATTTGAAGTGGCTTACCTTGTAAAAATATTCTTGAATGAGTAAAACATCAAAACGACGTCTTGTTACTCTTTTTGTCATACTTGTCTGCAAGAATATTACCACATTCGTTTACTCACGAGAATTTTTACAAAAACGTGTTAGGCAATGGCAAACTATTCTCGATTTTTGAGGTTGGAATTTTGTTAACAGCGGCTGAACCGCTCTCCATGATCTCACCAAAATTCGACAAATCTAACATTCTCTGTGGAATACCATCCATATCAATTCAATCGTCTGGAAAATCTAAATATTTGTCTTCAACAACATTGTTAAATTCATTTTTCTATACAATAAAGTTAAAATTAAAATCATTTTTTAATCTACTGATACTGTAATTTAATAATATTTCTAAACATATCGTGGTTTAGTGGTAATTTTTCTTGTGGGAAAGAAGTTTGGACCATTCTGTCTTGAGTTCCATTTCCATTAGAAACGAAGTCATGACATTTCAGTTTCTGGTATGTGAGATATCGATGAAGCTATGGTCCATGAATAACCCTCTTGACATTAGAAAATATTGTATGTTTCTGAAATATATGTTTTGAGTTTATTGCATGATAAGTAATACTTAAAAATAAAAATCTTTCAAACATAAACTTGTTACTGTTACACTGAACCTCACATATATTTGTTTCTAGTATTTAATTTCTTTTAATAGCAATATGTTGTATACTATATTTAAAATTTAAAAAATAATTTTCTCAAATTATATAAATTTTCAATATTTTCTTAATGAACTTCAGATGTGAATTTTTTTTATAAAAAATAAGAATTACTTGATTGATTTGGTTTTATATTTTCTTATAGAAAGGAAATGGTGTGACTCATAATTTTTCAAGTTTTCTAAAAAATAATAAGTCAGCAAAGAAAATCTCATATAGTTTCTAAGAATGTAACCAATAAGACTTATTTAATTATAAATTAAAAAAAATATAAATGGAAGAAAAGTTTAAATAAAAGTTTCAAAAAAAATTATTAAATAAAATAATTAATTATTTAAAATAAATATATTTGAAGGAAACTTTGTAAACAATAATTTAATATCTAGTAGATATATTTTTCTATTGAATATTTTAGAAATTCTATATTGGTTTTTTTTTATTTTTAGAAATTTTATGCGAAATAAAATTTCTTCTTATTAATCCGTGTTATGCATGGGTAATTCTTATACTATTTAATTTTATGATATAACTATTTAAAACGAATTAAAATCTTTTATTGAATCTTGAGATGTCAAAACTAAATTTTGAAAATGTGCAAAATATTTTAAACTGAAATAATAATATATAAATATTATGCAATACTCAAATGTTTAGTCTATAAAAAATTTTACAAAGTAAATTTAAAATATTTTAATGATTTATATTATACAAATAAAATTTTATTTACTTCATTCATAAAATTAGACTTATAGATTTGTGGTTTTAATTTAAATTTTTATAATAAATAAAAAATTTATTGGTGTTAAACTACATATAATACTCTACGGGAAAGAGACGAGTCACGTGATCACTTGTTTTTCGCGTGTCCATACTCATTCACGATCTAGTCACAGGTCGCCGGGAAGCTCCTTGGGAACAGCATTGATCCAGATTCCGATATTACTCTTGAAAGTTTGATGGGAGGAGTCGGAAGCAGCGATAGGGACATTCTAATACGTCTCTGTTTCCAAGTCACGATTTACTTTGTTTGGATGGAGAGAAACGCTCGGAATCATGGAGGAATCTATTGTTTAGCGAACCAGATGGTGAAACTCATTCACAAACTAATCCGGAACAGGATTGCATCTCTCAAATACGCTCAAAATCCGCGGATCCGACTTCTGCTTCAAACATGGTTTGAAGTGTCTCCAATCCATTCAGTTACTCTGTTTTAGTAATTTCAGTCTCTCAGCTTTGTTTTGTCTCTGTATTTTGCTAGCCATTAGATACCATTGTAAATAAGTGTTTCCACTTGATTAATAAATTACACATTCAAAAAAAAAAATACATAATATATGTTTATATTATTTAATTTTCAATTGAAAAATCCCCAATGCATTTAATGTAAAAAATTATATAGAAGTTTTTTAATTTAAAAATTACAGATATTTGATTTTGGTAAGTTTTGTTAATAAGAATAATTTGTGTATAGATTTAAAAGCGTTTGACAAGATGAATAGTAGAATTAAATAAATAAAAAGATGAAAATAATTGTGGACTCAATTATAAGCACGAAAACCCCTGTTTTAATACATAGAGGATGTTTAAGGTTTTTACACATAAATTAAGAAAACCCAAATATTCATTTAATTTATATCTTTTACATAAAAACATTATTAGATAAACTGAGTTCAACCAATAAAAATGATGTAAAATATAATTGGTCAAAAAAAATAAAGAAATTGTTAAAAATGCCCCTTTTTCAATACTCCTTTTCAAAAATGCCCCATTTGAGAGTCTATTTTTAAGTTTACCCTCTTTTCATTTTTAATGACCATTTTACCCTTATTTGAAACAAAATTAGGTCCACAAAATACAAAATATTTTCTGGCGGGAAAAGTAATCCCGCAATTTTCCCGCCAAAACACTTGTAAAAACTTGTAAAACCTTTAAAATACCTTGTAAAATTTTCCCGTAAAATTTTTTCCCGCCAAAAATTTTTTTTTGCTGGAAAAGTGATTCCGCAATTTTTTTGGCGAATTTTTTTTGGCGGAAAAAAATTACAAGATATTTTAAAGGTTTTACAGAGTATTTACAAGTGTTTTGTAAGGTTTTACAATGTATTTTAAAAGATTTTACAAGGTACTTACAAGATTTTATAAGGTATTTATTGTTGGTGTCGGATCCCGCACCAGAGGTCCGAGACCAACCAAAGATTGCCACGTATTCAAGATAATGGCCCATAAAGGATAAAGCCCATTGGACCCGTGAGCCGAAGGAACGGTCGAAGTGGTTATCACCACTTCGAGAATCCGAAGTGACTGCTCTTCGACATGAGTTCGGTGTAGAAGACACGGGTAAGTCGGTTCAAGGACACTTGGGCCAAAAGGCGAGGCCCATGAAGATTAGAGTCAACTCAAATTCAAACATTGAGCATTAAAGTCAAAGAATCAAAACGGACACATTTAAGAGGAAATAATTGTACTTAATTATTCATTTTAATGTCGATTCTCTATGTATAAATATAAAGGCCAATGGCCATGTAAAGGGGACCTTTTCTTGGAAGGAGGAAATACTATAGCAATTTTTGTAGCAATTCATAAGCTTTTTACATTCTTATTTTTTGTCCCTCAAGAATAATCTTCCCTATTAACAAAAATACTTGAGTGTGTGAATCCGACATCCACATTTTGGCGCCGTCTGTGGGGATAGAGGATTCTTGAGTGGTCAGATTTTTCTTTACTACATTCCCGAGATAAGCAGCAATGTCCGGAGGAGACGCCGTTGAGACATCATTGGCCGAAACCCTCAAAGCTATGCAGCAAACCATGTCGGACATATCACAAAAGTTCTCGGATGTGGAAAAGGCTGTCGATACGTTGCAAACATCCCAGGTATCTCTTAGTCAAAACGTCAATACTATACAAACTCGTGTTCGATCTTTAAGTGCAGGAAATCCTGTGGGAATCCGAAGGAGGATACTCAACTCGCCAAGTTCCGTTGCGCGAAATGAAACCATCGGACAAACAACTCCTGGTACTACTAATAATGTAGTTCAGCCATTGGATGGAGAGGCACAGCTCGAAGATGAAGCTCAACTTGCAGATCAATACGAGCAGGAAAACCTCGACCAGTTCGAGACTATGAGGAAGGTTAGCCAAGAACTAAAAGAAATGAAGTCAAAATTCCATCAGGCTACAAGTTCGGAGCCGGATATCAATCGAGTCATTGAAGAAGCTAGGAGAACACCTTTCATCTCGCGAATTGCGAGTTTGAGAATCAAAGATTCCCGGAAGCTCAAGTTGGAACCTTACAGCGGA